GATACAAGTTGTAAACATAATTATAAATACATGAAAATGATACGAATAAAAGAAAACATCAGGACAGGGACAGTAGGCACGCTGGTGCATTTATGCACGTCCCTTACAGACCTCTTAGAAATGGGGTGAGGTCTACAGTAGACAGTCTAAGATTAAAGTTTTGGGAATTTGGGGAAGAAATCACAGAGTCAGGTAGTACATTCCAGGCAACTCTGTTGGTGAAGTCGTATTTTCTGCAGTCTAGTTTGGATCGGTTTACCATGAGTTTGTATCTATTGTGTGCTCTTGGTTGAAGCTGAAGTATTCATTGGCTGGTAGGACATTGTAGCAGATGAGTACTTCAGCTTCAACCCAAACAATTTTTTCAACCAAAAAATGGTTTTGATTGTCCGATAGGCAGTGCAAGTTCCAGACAGATGAGCTGTATTCAAGAATTGGCCTGGCAAAAGTTTTGTATGCCCTAGTTTGCAGTTCAATATTACCAGAGAAGAAACTACCCAAGATTAGGTTAACAACTCTTAATGCTTTTTTAGTGGAATAGAATAGAATAGAATAATAGAATAGAATAGAATAGAATAGAATAGAATAGCAATAAGATTGATAAGAATAGAATAGAATAGAATAGAATAGAATAGAATAGAATAGCAATAAGATTGATTAGAATAGAATAGAATAGGAGCCTTAGTAGTACAGTGGTTTAAAGCACCCTGTTATTAACACAGCTGCCTGCAATTACTGCAGGTTCGAATCTTGCCAGGCTCAAGGTTGACTCAGCCTTCCATCCTTTCTAAGGTAGGTAAAATGAGGACCCAGATTATGGGGGCAATAAGCTGACTTTGTATAAATATACAAAAGTATGAAGGCTATTGCTTAACGCATTGTAAGCTGCTCTGAGTCTCCAGAGAAGGGCGGCATATAAATCAAATTTAAAAAAAAAATAGAATAGAATAACAATAAGATTGATGAATAGAATAGAATAGCAATAAGATTGATAAGAATAGAATAGAATAGAATAGCAATAAGATTGATAAGAATAGAATAGAATAGCAATAAGATTGATGAATAGAATAGAACAGCAATAAGATTGATAAGAATAGAATAAAATAGCAATAAGATTGAGAATAGAATAGAATAGCAATAAGATTGATAAGAATAGAATAGAATAGAATAGCAATATTGATGAATAGAATAGAATAGAATAGAATAGCAATAAGATTGATAAGAATAGAATAGAATAGAATAGAATAGCAATAAGATTGATGAATAGAATAGAATAGAATAGCAATAAGATTGATAATAGAATAGAATAGAATAGCAATAAGATTGATGAATAGAATAGAATAGAATAGCAATAAGATTGATGAATAGAATAGAATAGAATAGCAATAAGATTGATGAATAGAATAGAATAGAATAGCAATAAGATTGATAATAGAATAGAATAGCAATAAGATTGATGAATAGAATAGAATAGAATAGCAATAAGATTGATGAATAGAATAGAATAGAATAGCAATAAGATTGATAAGAATAGAATAGAATAGAATAGAATAGCAATAAGATTGATAATAGAATAGAATAGCAATAAGATTGATAAGAATAGAATAGAATAGAATAGAATAGAATAGAATAGAATAGAATAGCAATAAGATTGATGAATAGAATAGAATAGCAATAAGATTGATAAGAATAGAATAGAATAGAATAGAATAGCAATAAGATTGATGAATAGAATAGAATAGAATAGCAATAAGATTGATAATAGAATAGAATAGAATAGCAATAAGATTGATGAATAGAATAGAATAGAATAGCAATAAGATTGATGAATAGAATAGAATAGCAATAAGATTGATAATAGAATAGAATAGCAATAAGATTGATGAATAGAATAGAATAGAATAGCAATAAGATTGATATAAGAATAGAATAGAATAGAATAGAATAGCAATAAGATTGATAATAGAATAGAATAGCAATAAGATTGATAAGAATAGAATAGAATAGAATAGAATAGAATAGAATAGAATAGAATAGAGCTGGACGGGACCTTGGAGATTGATTGATTGATTGATTGGAATCGCGGGGAGGGGGAGCCTGTCTTTCACAGACCAGCGCTCTGTTCCCTGCAATTGGTCGCGCTGCCACAGCCCCGCCCCCCCTTCCGCTGCTGCAGCTGCACTTCTCCAAACCCGGGAATTCCACTTCGCATTTTCCAAGGCACGAAAGGGGGCCGGACCGGAAAGAGCGAATTCCTTCCCCCCCCCACACACCGCAGGTCTTCTCTAGGAATCGTATCATCGCTCGTTTTAACCCTTAAAGAACCAGGAGATTGGAGACCAATGCCAAGGTTGCTCGCTTGGACACGTTCCGGGGTCGATGTTGTTGGCAGCGTTTCCATTCAGTAGCGTAATAGTAGAGCTGCCGATTTACGGGGGGAAATTGCAGTTTCCTATTAAAAGTAAACGCTTTCTGGCAGAACCCCAAATTAAAATTAAATGTATAATTTGGGGTACTGCCCAAATCTGAAATGGTATAAATAGGATCTCCTGCTTGAGCAGTGGGCTGGACTAGATGACCTCCAAGATCCCTTCCAGCTCGATTCTGATTCTGAATATTGTAGTCGAAGCCAATTATATAGGGAGGTGCTCAATTTTAATTGTGCAGGTAGTCTTTGACTTACCTTCACAACCGAGCCCCAAATTTTCGTTTCTAAACAAGACCGTTGCTAAGCGAGTTTTGTCTCGTTTTACGACCTTTCATGCCACAATTGTTAAGCGAATCACTGCAGCTGTTACATTAGTGACACGGTTGTTAAGTGAATCTGGCTTCCCCACTGATTATCAGAAGGTTATAAAATGGGATCACCTGACACACACCCCTCCCCCCAGGATACTGCAACCGTCATAAGTATGAGTCAGTAGCCAAGCGTCCGGAGTTTGATCATGTGACTATGGCGATGCTGCAACTGTCGTGTGAAAAATGATAAGTCGTTTTTTTTCAGTGCCATCGTAACTTCAAAATGGTCACTAAATGAATGGCTGTAAGTCGAGGACTCTGTACAGTATAAAGCTGATAAAGCACCTTTCTTTCTGCAATCTGGGCTCTTCAGAAGATAGATTTATTTATTTATACATACCCTGTTTTTATTATTGTTTATATAAATAACTCAAGGCAGAGAATCCAGCCAATATTCCTTCTTCCTCCTATTTTCCCTAAACAGCAACCCCGTGAGATTGGGCTGAGAGAAAGTGAGTGGCCAAAATCACACCTTGGTCTACAATTCCCAGAAAGCCAAGGGAGTTTGGCTGATATTAACTGAGAATTCTGGGAGCTGTAGTCTCAATAGATTGGAGGGGGGTTCAAGTTGCTTGCCCGAAGGTCACAAAAGGGAATCAGGTGATCCCCAGGATCTTGCAACTGTCATAAATACATGCCTGTTGCCAACTGTCCAAATTTTGATCCCGTGGCCCCACTTTTTTTCAGTTGTAACTTCAAACGGTCACTAAACGAATGGTTGTAAGTCGAGGACTTCCTGTACATTAGATAAAGGGTGTGTGTGGGTGGGTGTGATTCCTTTATTCCATTCCCCCTCCCAAATTTTGCGAATTGCAATCCTTTGCTCCCCCTTTTCTCACTACCTTTCCCCCATCCCCAAATGCCTCCTTTGGCTTGTAGGAAGTTAGCACCCACCCCTTTCCTGGAAGAATGAAATATTTTAGGAAATATTAAAAAGGCAGAATATTATGTTTCCCTGGTTGAGAAATGGAGAAACATGTTTTAAAGACAAAGCAACTCCCACCTTCCTGCCTCCCCCCCTCCCCTTGGTTAATGGGCCAGAGACAGAAACTCAGTCTTTGACAATACGACCCATCTGCAACACAACAGCAACAGAAACTAACCCAATGGGACCCATCTAAGACAGAAACTCACCACGTGGCACCTGGGAAGTTTACATCAGCCAGCAAGGCTAGCTAAAACCCTCACCCCCTGGGAGTCTTGACAACCAGTCAGGATACACTTTCGGGGCCCCAGGAAGTTCAAAGCCAGAGAAAGCATAAAACCCGGGGACTCGCTGTATCTCGGGCCCTTTTCTGTTCAGGAACTCAAGCCATGTGATCCTGTCCACCATTAAACCATCTTTCCAAGCAGTCTCCACGTTTCCAGTGTCTTTTTCCTCACTTGGAGCTGAACCCAGAAGGATATGTCTTCCTACAGGCTCAAGAACTCCCAAATTGGTTGCCAGGTGTCCACTATTTGAGCGGACAGTCCGCTTTTTTCACATTATGTTCACTATTTTTTTTCACAAAATAGTGGTCATTTTTTTAATTCAATATGATGAAATGGTACGTAAGTTTTGCGAGTCAGAATTCCATGAAGTCTTGCGCCATGTTCCAACACGTTGGTTAAGTTTATTTAAAGCGGTCGAAAGACTTTATTTTTTGTAAGAAAATATATAATTTAATTGTAAAATGTTTTTTTATTTTTTTACTACTTAACCCCCACCCCCGCTTGTCCGCTATTTTTTGGAAACAGACCTGGCAACCCTACTCCCCAGTTTAACAGTAACAGAGTCGGAAGGGACCTTGGAGGTCATCTAGCCCAACCCCCTGCTCACGCAGGAGACCTGTACTAGGGATTCGAACTGGCCGACCATTCTCAGTGCTTCAGCCACTGAGTCACCTACTCAGGCTAACCCACCCCTCAGCCTCTTTCAAAAGGCAATTCATTGGACTTACAATGAAAAAAGACGGGGGGGGGTGGAGGGAAGGGAAGGCATGGACTCTTGAACTTTGCTGTCTCCCCCCCTCCCATTTATTTCCTTCCTTCCCTCCCCCCCCATCCCCTTCCTCTCTAGGCAAGGAGAACTCTCTCAGTTCAAAGACCAAAGTGCCAGAAGAATGGAGCCACCGAGATGAAGCGGCTAGAGAGGAGGGATAAGGGGGTGGATAATAAATCAAAGGGATTTGGGGGGGACTGTCTCTTCCTGTTCAGCCCACTAGCAAAGTATTAAAGCAAAGTGAGCCTGCTTTGGCTGGAACAGAGAAGGCGGACCTGTAAGTCCAGGGCGGGCAGAGCGGGAGCGTGCATGCAACTATAATGCAAATTTAGCAATACCAAAAGTTGGTTTGATTGTTTGATCCATTGTGATTGATTGATATTCCCTCCCAGTTCTCCAAGAGTGCTTTACAATATATGTGATGGGTGCAGCAGATTCGTTGTTGGGCACCACGTGCATGAAGACCAGCAGCTCGGGCAATCCCTTTGCAATGGTGACAAACAAAGTTGCTAGTCCTTATGGATGGGAATCTCGGTTCAAGTGGGCGTGTGCAACGCTCTGGAGCTGGAGGGCGTGTTTACGGTGCGCCTGGCTTCGATGGGGTTTTACTGTCATTTCTGGCCCGTTGCTGAGATATTGTAGTGTTGTTTTTTTTCTATAGCTCCTTCCGCAGGTTACACTTTGAGGAACTTGGTGCAAAATTTAAGGGCACGCTGAACTCGACTTACTACCGATTGTGTAGTGACCGTTCCAAGTTACGACACTGAACAAAGTGACTCGTGACCGTTTTTCACACTTACGACCATTGCCGCATCTCCATGGACAAGTGATGAAAATTCAAACGCTTGGCAGTTGACTCACACTTATGACGGATGGCAATGTCCCGGGGTCACTTGATCCCCTTTTGCGACCTTCTGACAAGCAAAGTCCATGGGGAAACCAGATTCACTTCAAAATCATTCAGTTACTAACTTAACAACTGCAGTGTTTCACTTAACAACTGTGGCAAGAAAGGTCGTAAAGTGGAGCAAAAAGTCACTTAGCAACTGTTTCGCTTAGCAACAGGATTTTTGGGCTCAGTTGTGGTTGTAAATTGAGGATTACCTGTAATTGCTATTTATGTATTTTGAGTTTCTAACATTTGTAGTGGGATCTTCACCTAGCCCCATGTGAGTTAATTAATTTGATTTATATGCCGCCCTTCTCCGGAGACTCAAGGCGGCTTACAAGGTGTTAAGCAATAGCCTTCATACTTTTGTATATTTATACAAAGTCATCTTATTGCCCCCACAAACTGGGTCCTCAGTTTACCTACCTTAGAAAGGATGGAAGGCTGAGTCAACCTTGAGCCTGGTGAGATTCGAACTTACAGTAATTGCAGACAGCTGGTATTAATCACAATGCTATCTGTCTGCTGAGCCACCAGGCCCAGCTTTTGTGAATCTATGAATCTCAGGGAATGTCCCAAGTTTATTCCAGGGATGATCCTGTTTCAGTGGTGAAATCCAAATTTTTTTACTACTGGTTCTGTGGGCGTGGCTTGCTAGACGTGGTGTGGCTTGCTGGGCGTGGTGTGGCTTGCTGGGCGTGGTGTGGCTTGCTGGGCATGGCTTGGTGGGGGTGGCAGGGGAAGGATACTGCAAAATCTCCATTCCTACCCCACTCTCGGGCCAGCCAGAGGTGGCATTTGCTGGTTCACAGAACTACTCAACATTTCCACTGCTGGTTCTCTGAACTACTCAAAATTTCCACTACCGGTTCTCCAGAACCTGTCAGAACCTGCTGGATTTCACTCCTGTCCTGTTTGGGCTCGGGTTCTCCTGGTGATCAGCACCCAGCATTCCTATTGGAAGAGACTTAAAGAAATCCATCCTAGAATCAAAATGAAGCTGCAAATAACAAACCTCACCATGTTAAAAAAAATAATAATCTCCTCTGTAGGCTTTGTTTGGAAGAAAAAAAAATAGATTAAAAAGTGCAAAGGAGAGCAACTAAGATGATTAAAGGTCTGGAGACTAAAACATAGGAAGAAGGGTTGCAGGATTCGGGTTTGGCTAGTCTAGAGAAAAGAAGGACTAGTGAGGACATGATAGCAGTCTTCCAGTATTTGAGGGGCTGCCACAAAAAAGAGGGGTTAATTTATTTTCCAAAGCACCAAAAGGCAGGAGAAGAAACAATGGATGGAAACTAATCGAGGAGAGAAGCAACCTGGAACTGAGGAGAAACTTCCTAACAGTGAGGACAATTAACCAGTGGAACAGCCTGCCTCCTGAAGTTGTGGGTGCTTCATCCCTGGAGGTTTTTAAGAACAGACTGGCTAGTCAGCAGGAGGCTGGACTAGAAGACCTCCAAGGTCCCTTCCAGCTCTGTTCTGATTCTGATATGTTAGAATGGTATTTCTCAACCTTGGCAACTTCAAGATGCGTGGACTTCAACTCCCAGAATTCCCCAGCCAGCTTGAAATTGCCAAGGTTGAGAAACAGTGTGTTGGAAGGATCATGGAAAGGAAGTGTGAAACAAATCTATAGCATCTTCCTTCTTAGACACAGCCAAAGATGTTGAAAAGATACAGAAGTGATCTAACAAGAGAAAAGGCAGCAATTTGGGTCCCTTAATTTATTGCTTTATTTCTTTTTCTCCTAACAGAAACATCACTTGGTGGGGAGAAAAAAATTCCCGTTCTCAGTCCACCAATCAAAAGTCACAAAGAACTCGTTGACCTTCTTTAATATCTTTTTTTTCCCATCAGGCTTTAAATTCTGCAGTCCAGACCCTTCGCCCTCTTGGTGAAACGTGAGCGGCTCTAAGGAAAGAAAATGTCCGCCAAGCAGAACAAGATGTCAGCTCCAGATTCAGACGCTCGATCTCTGGAGCGCAAGGTGACAACCGTCATCAAAACGGAGAAACAAGAATGGCCTGGAATTCAGACTTCCAGCAGAGAAGGCGGCTTCCCTCGAGTCATGCAGGTGGGGACCATCGGGGAGTATCTGAAAAAGCCCGCACCCCAGGAACCGGAGAAGGGGCTGTCCGAATGCTGGGAGGCTCAGTGGCAGGCATTCCTGCACACCATGCAGTCCTCACGTTCCGGATGGGGAAACGTGGAGCCATTGGAAGCCAAACAACAAGACGATATTCCTGATTTTTTTTCCGCTGTGGAGCAAGAGAGATGCCCAGCAGCCAAAGTGCAGAGGACGAGACAGACATCCCAGCCTGATGGAAAGAATCCAGAGTCCCGTAGCCTGGAGAGTGATGGAAACAGCAGGAAGCTTAAGAGAAAAAGAGAAGAAGCTCCGAAGGAGGAAGCGGGAAGCGTGGAATTACAACGCCAGCACTTCCGCCAGTTCTGCTACCAGGAAGCCGAGGGTCCCAGAGAGGCTCTTTGCCGACTGGGGTACCTTTGCCATCAGTGGCTAAAGCCGGAGAAGCACACCAAAGAAGAGATCCTGGATCTGTTGATTCTGGAGCACTTCCTGACCATCCTGCCCCCCGAAATGCAGAGCTGGGTGAAGAGAAGACACCCCGAGACTTGTTCCCAAGCGGTCGCCCTGGCGGAGGATTTCCTGCTGAAGCAGCAGGAAAATAAGAGGCAGACGCAGACGGTAAGAGCCGATCTTCGGGTCGCAGCAAATTGGGGAAAGGTCGGTAAAGAGTGAGAAAGATTTTGTACAGGTAGTCCTCGATTTACAACAGTTCATTTAGTGACAGGTGGAAGTTACAGGCTGTTGTAAATCAGAGGTCCAGGCTTTTGCTCTGTGTGAAGATGTGTCCCTCACTCTCGCAGAGAGCTTTATTTTTTATACAGTTTTACACAGGCAGATAAAAAGGAAGGACAGCAACAGTATCCTAATTGGTAGAAACTAGTCAGCCCCCTCTCAAGTTGCCATCCTCTCTGAAGGTGAGATAATACAGATCAGAGCCAAAATGAGATCATAGGCATGAGCTAAGGCAGTGTGCGGCTCTTAGCCTGGTACTACGACCTTTGACCTACCTCTACAACAGGGCCCTGTTAAAATGTGACTTAGGACCATTGTTCACATGACGGTTGCAGCAACCCCATGGTCACATGATCAAAACCCGGATGCTTGGCAACTGACTCGTACTTATGACGGTTGCAGTGTCCTGGGGGTCATGTCATCCCCTTTTGCGACCTTCGGATAACCAAAGTCAATGGGGAAGCCAGATTCACTTAACAGCCGTGTTACTAATGTAACAGCTGCATCGATTCACTTAACAACTGTGTCCAGAAAGGTTGTAAAACGAGGCAAAACTCACTTAGCAACTGTCCTGTTTAGAAATGGAAATTTTGGGCTCAATTGTACACAACTACCTTAAATTAAAATAAAATTGAGCACCTCCCTGTATAATTGGCCTAACTAATGTGGCAAGAAAGTTCATGAAATGGGACGAAACTCACGTCGCAACTGTCTTGCTTAGCAGCGGAAAAGTTGGGCTCTGTTGTGGTCATAAGTCGAGGACTACCTGCACTTCTTGCAGAAATGTCTCTGGCTGCAAGTTGTGTAAAAGCAGGCCTTCTTTGAATTGGTTGGGGAATCTCCCACCCTCCCTACCAACTGCAAATTCTGACATTACGAGAGGAGGGAAAAAAATCTCCCCTCTTGTGTTGGTCTGTACAAGGTTGGAATCTGTAAGATGGCTGGTGTGGTGGAAATCCTGCCCCAAAGAGGCGGGGCCTCTGTCATAACGCCATCTCTGCCATCTTCCCAACGTGGATTCCCTTCGCAGGCAGAAGTCCCTCCGTCTGCCCTTCATTGTCTTTGGCTTAAGAACTCAGCCAAGCCTCTTCTTTTTCAGATCCTGTTCCAAGTCTTGACGGTGAATTTCCCAGTTGGGGAGGAGGAATCCTCTAAAAAACCCCACAGGAGCCCAGGCAGGGAGGCTGAGACCGAAAGAAAAGAAGATGATCCTCTGGGTAAGAACTTCACATTTGCTCTCCTTGCCACTTCTTTGCCAGTGGCTGAATTCAAAGGCGCGCAGAGTCTTTTCTTCAAGGTAAAAAAAAAAAGTCCCTGTGGATTTTACTCCGCTAGCCGTAGCCGTAACTATAGGCGGTGATGCTCATCTCCTTTCAAGGCTATTGAGCCAGTGCTGTTCAAAGACATTTCTGCAGTCATGTGGCCAGCATGAAGTCACAGAGGGCTGTTATCTTCCTGCCGAAGTGGTACCTATTTATCTACTTGCATTTGCATGCTTTCGAACTGCTAGGTCGGCAGGAGCTGGGGCGAGGACAGGAACTCACCCTGTCGTGTGGCACTCGGGTCTCAAACCTGGCTGCTGGCTTTCTAGCCGACAATCATTTATTTTATTTCTTTGAGTATATTCCATTTATATCCCACTGAAGTCTGTGTTGTGTTTTGTTACGTTTCATTATATTATATTCAATTATGTTTCATTGTGTTCTACGGCAGAGGTGTCAAACTGGATTTCTTCGAGGGCCAGATCAGTATTGTAGTTCTCTTATGTGGGCCGGTCGGTGGGATGGGGGAGATGGGACAGACGCCAAAACGGGATACCGCAGGACAGTCCTTTGCTATTCCCAGGCCGGACCCGTGGGCCAGATTTAAGCACCCTGCAGGCTGGATCCGGCCCACTGGCCTTGAGTTCGACACCCCTGTTCTATGGCATTCTGTTCCCTTCCATTCCACTCCACTCCATTATAATCTATTCCGTTCCATTGTCTTTCACTACAATCTATTCCATTCCATTCCATTGCGTTCTACTGTAATCTACAGCTAGTCCTCAACTTCCGACCACCATTGAGTCCAAAATTTCTTTCACTGAGCAAGACCTTTGTTAAATGAATTGTGCCCCATTTTACAACCTTCCTTGCCACCATTGTTAAGTGAACCACTGCAGTTGTTAAGTTAGTAATCACGGTTGTTAAGTGACTCTGACTTCCCCGTGGAGTTTGCTTGTCAGACGGTCACAAAAGGGAATTACATGACCCCGGGACTTTGCAGCCGTCATAAATTTGAGCAGCGGGGCAGTGTGCATGTGCATGTGCACTCAGCTCAACTAGTTGAGCTGCACACACGTATGTGTTTGTACATGCTGGCCCTCCACTTGTGCACGTCGAGCTGCGCACACATGCATTTTTGCCAGCCCACCTTCCCTCCACCACCACATGGCCCAGTTACAAATAGGCCACGGCCCGGTAGTGACTCATTGCCTTGGGTACCCTTGATTTAGAGCTTATCTACTTCTGGAATGGCTTGGGCAGTTTCTTTTAACTGGGAGACTCTCTTTGGGCTCTGCTTGGCAGCCCCAGGAGACGTGGTCAGTGATGGCAGGCCACAGGAAATGGTGGATCGAATTTCAGATCTGTAGGTAATCCTCAACGTATGACTCCAATTGGGACCACGATTTCCACTCTTACAAAAAAAAAAAAAAAAGGAAGCCACTTGTAGGACCCAGCTCCACTCCTTGCCCTGTCCTAAAATATCAAATTAAATATGAAATTATTAAAATGCCAAATTTTAATTTAATATTTAAGTTAAATTTCAAATGATTAAATTAAATATCAGGTATTGAATTAATATTTAACATTAAAAATTAATATTAGGTGTTGAGTCAAATATTAAATAATTAAATATTAAACAGTTAATCCCAGAGCTGCCTCCAGAATTTGTGGGTGCTCCAACACTAGAGGTTCTTAACAAGAGTTTGCAGAACCATTTGTCTGAAATGGGATAGCGTCTCCTACTTGAGCAGGGGGTTGGACTAGAAGGCCTCTTAAGGTCCCTTCCAATTCTGTTACTCTACTAAATTTAGCTGCTGGTGCTGAAGACTTCGCTCACCCCAGTTTGTCCCTTCTGGTTCACAGTTTTTTGGGTTTTTTTAATTTGATTTATATGCCGCCTTCTCCGGAGACTCAGGGAGGCTTACAATGCGTTAAGCAATAGCCTTCATACTTTTGTATATTTATACAAAGTCAGCTTATTGTCCCCACAAACTGGGTCCTCAATTTACCCACCTTAGAAAGGATGGAAGGCTGAGTCGACCTTGAGCCTGGTGAGAATTGAACTCGCAGTAATTGCAGGCAGCTGGATGTTAAATGCTGCCTTAGGAGGCATTAGCCTCCTACGCCACTCAGGCTCCTTCAGTTCAGTAGCGATTGTCTTGTGTGAACATTCCTGGATTTTATTGGTGTTTTTTTTTCCTCTCCAGAAGCTGTGAGCGCTTGGAGCAAGCAGCCCTGGGCGAGAGACGCTCCTCAGGAGTTAATGGCTGCCTCTGCAAATCAGGGCCCACAGATTCACTCGGAAGCTGAACTTGCTGACAGCCGGCAGGACCGATCGGCTGCTCAGGGACCCGGGTTCATTCCTACCCCAGAGCCTCCGAGAACCCGGAAGGCGAAAAGCCGGAAGATTTGCGACATCTGTGGGAAGAGTTTCAGCTACAACTCGAACCTGAAACGTCACTGGCGGACTCACACGGGCGAGAAGCCGTACGGCTGCTCGTATTGCGGGGAGCGTTTTAACCAGGCCACGAACCTCATCCGGCATCAGCGGATTCACACAGGAGAGAAGCCCTACAAATGCTCCGATTGCGGGAAAAGCTTCAACCAGAGCCTGCAACTTATCCGGCACCGGAAAACTCGCTTTAATTGTAACTAAAAAAAAAAAAGCTTCTGTCCGCAGAGAAATAGTTGCTGTGGTGGTGCTAGGAATTCCAAGCGAGTCACGCAAGAACGCTTAAGCAGGGAATTCCCAAGAATTTCTTGGTTTTCCTATGGGAAGACTGAAACTGTGCCTTGACTGAAAAGATTTTTGGTAGGGGTAGCACGTGGTTTTGGAGAGGAGGGGGGCGCAAGGATGGCTGGAAGGTGAAGCAGAGGAAAATTTGCCCTGTCACTTTCCTTTTGTTTCTGCCAATAATTACAGAGCTAAAGAGTTGGAAGGAACCTGAGAGGTCTTCTAGTCCAACCCCGTGCTCAAGAGGGGAATCCTATACAGGTAATCCTTCACTTACGACGGTGTGTTTAATGATCATTCAAAGTTACAATGGCACTGAAAAAAGTGACTAATGACCGTTTTTCACACTTAACGGCCATTGCAGCATCCGTATGGTCACGGGATCAAAATTCTGACACTTTGCAACTGACTCATATTTATGACAATTGCAGCGTCCTGGGGTTGATAAGTTAGTAACTCGGTTGTTTAATGAATCTGGTTTCCTCATCAGAAGGTCGCAAAAGGGGATAGATCACATGGCCTTGGGACAAAGCAACGGTCATAAATAGGAACCAGTTGCCAAGCATCTGAATTTTGAACCCATGAACATGGGGATGCTAGAAAGGTCATAAGTATGAAAAAAACGGTCATAAATCACTTTTTTCAGTGCTGTTGTACCGTTGAATGGTAACTAAATTGGTTGACTCAGCCTTCCATCCTTTCAAGGTAGGTAAAATGAGGACCTGGATTTTGGGGGCAATAAGGTGACTTTGTATAAAAAAGAACACCACTTAGGGGGGGGCGAAAGCCCTACTAAGCAGGTATATACAAAAGTATGAAGGCTATTGCTTAATGCATTGTAAGCTGCCCTGAGTCTCTGGAGAAGGGTGGCATATAAATCGAACCAATAAACAATAATAATAATAAACTAAATGAACTGTTGTAAGTTGAGGACTACCTGTATTATACATTTTCCCAGGTGGTTTTCTATATATACTCCATAAGGAAAAAGATCAAACAGGTGGATCCCTCTCTGCCTCTTTTTAGGAAAGTGCCACCGTAATGACATTTGGTAGATTATAGAAAAAAATATCTGGCAGTAAAATTCATTTACACAAGATCATTTCCTTTGAATTGTTTTATCTATTGATTTCAGGTGCTTTTATACTGAACCCAGTGGTGAAATCCAAATTTTTTTACTGGTTCTTTGGGCGTGGTGTTGCTTGGTGGGCGTGGCAGGGGAAGGATACTGCAAAATTTCCATTCCCACCCCACTCCAGGGGAAGGATACTGCAATATCCCCATTCCCACCCCACTCCTGGGGGAAGGATACTGCAAAATCTCCATTCCCGCCCCACTCTGGGGCCAGCCAGAGGTGGTATTTGTCGGTTCTCTGAACTACTCAAAACTTCTGCTACCGGTTCTGCAGAACCTGTTAGAACCTGCTGGATTTCACCCCTGACTGAAACACATAACTCAAAAGAACAAGTAGCAGTTTGCCATAGGCAGAATAAATCACGACTAAACCCTACCATCAAAATAAGCAATTTAACATAAATCACGGGTCCCTAACCTCCGGGCCGTGGCCCACTTCCTATTTGCAAACGGGGCACGCAAGTGTTAAGCCGACGCGCATGCACGCAATTTGTACGAATGGCAGACTGGTGCCCGTGTATAGGCACACGCAGCTCAACTTGTGCAATGAGCTGCGCACAGGTGTGCATGCGCTCTGGCCGGTCAATCGTGCAAGTTGAACTACACACATGCATGTGCACAGGCCCACTGCTTGCGTGGCCCAGTTCCCCTCTCTCTGCCCTCGCCAGGCCGCCAAGTGACAAAGGTTGGAGACGGCTGATATAAATAACATCACAATTGAAATTTTTATCGGTATGGCACAGTGGATCATTAGGGTCGCGGTGTGGGGGGTGAGGCTCTGAAAAAAAAATTAAGATGGCAGCCTTTGAATGTGGGTTGGCTTTGATCTTGTGGTCACAGCTGCCAATTTGTGGACAATGTGCTGTGGATTATTGTCTTAGACTAGGAATATGGACATTCACGTTCAAGTTTCTTAAGGTTGGGGTCCCCCACTTGTAGTCCAGCATCTTCTCCACTATCCCACACCGACTCTGGGGCTGAGGAGGGTGTTCCGTGGCAAATAAATAATCTAGGATAATAATTGAAAGACTAATTGAGATCAGATCACGTGTCGTTTCTCAAAACCCAGTTAATAAGCCAGAGTTTCTGGGTTCATATAGTAGGCTATCGCTGGGATGTCAGAAGCACATGAATTCGTCGTCCCCGTGTTTGTTAAAGCAAAATTGTACCTCAGGAGAGCACCTTTGATGCAAATGAATTTAAGCTTGGCTGGAGTTTTGAATTGCTACACTACAAATTTGTGTCGCAGATCACTCTGCTAAATGGCAATGTTTAAGATACTCCTGTTGTTCCTTTATCCTTTTCTACTGTCAGCTTTCCCAATGGCTCAATTCAGACATTACATATAATCTTAGATCATCAATAACGAACCACTTGTGTTCGTATAGCATGCTATGCCTAAACAATGATTGTTTAAGGCAGCGTTTCTCAACCGTGGAAACTTTTAAGATAGGTGGACTTCAACTCCCAGAATTCCCCAGCCAAGCCATGTTAGCTGGGGAATTCTGGGAATTGAAATCCACCTATCTTAAAGTTGCCACGGTTGAGAAACAGGGATTTAAAATAATGGCCTGATTATTGGCCCACAATGCACTTAGACAATGGCTGGATTCCCACAGGAGAGATCTATGCACAAGAATTATTATTTTTTTTTACTGTTTGATTGTAAGACTAACGTATTTTTTGGAGTATAAGATGCACTTTTTTCCCTCCTAAGAGAGGCTGAAAATTTGGGTGCGTCTTATACGTCGAATGTAACCCCGCACGGTGCCCAAAATTGCTACCTGGAACAGCTGCTGCCTTCTCTTACCCCTTCTGTGCTTTGCCTGCTTTAGTCACTGGAGCTCCCTCCGAGGATCAGCTGTGTTTTTGAAGCTGTTTTTCAGCCCCAACGCAAGGGAAGTGATCTTCCGTGCTTTGCCTGCTTTTCTAATTGCTGCTCCCTCCGACGATCAGCTGTGCTTTAGAAGCTGTTTTTTAGCCCCAACCATAAAACCAGCAAGCGAACTAATGTGCTGAAGCTGACCAGGCTAAGGACTAGCCAGATGAATACTTGGTGGGCAGAATTTTTTTTTTTTTTAATTTGATTTATATGCCGCCCTTCTCCGAAGACTCAGGGCGGCTTACAGTGCATTAAGCAACAGCCTTCATACTTCTGTATATTTTATACAAAGTCAGCTTATTGCCCACACAAACTGGGTCCTCAATTTACCTACCTTAGAAAGGATGGAAGGCTGAGTCAACCTTGAGCCTGGCAAGATTCGAACTTACTTTAATTGCAGACAGCTGGTGTTAAATTACAGTGCTTTAGTCTACAGAGCTATCAAGGCTCTCTCCAGACTCTCTTTTTCCCTTATTTCCTCCCCAAAACCTAAGGTGCACCTTATACTCCAGTGCGTCTTATACTCCGAAAAATATGGTAAATCTTTCGGTTAAGCTGGAAGATCCACTAGAACAGGCAACCTTGACAGCAAGTGATTAACTTAAGTGAAAAAAAAAAATTGGCCTGATAGTTTAGAGAACTTTATTCATCCCAATCCCATGAAAGGCATCTTTACATTCAAGACTTCTTTGCAAGGGGCCTGCAGTAGCTTTGGGAGCAGAAGACAAAGCTCAAGAATTCCCTGGTTTTTGACTTCGTTCTGGTAATTGTGCACCCTCGTCTTCACACCCTTACATGAACCCACACCAGGAACAAAAAAAAAATTATCAGGTGGTGTACTGCCTGTCCAGATTTATTTCCAGCAAAGAAAAGGGGAATAACTTCTCTAAAGAGGGGCGATAATTACTCAAAACAGACTGCAATTAGACTGCAAGCTTTTATTTTAATATGTGTGCATGAGGAAAAAAAATAAGAGAGAGAGAAACATGGATTACATCTAGGAGGTTCTGAACAGAGAGATGCATAAAAGCAGAGGCCAGCTGGGATCTTTTTTCTCTAAACCAGTGTTTCTCAAGATTAGCCACTTTAAAATGCGTGGACTTCTATTCCCAGGATTCCCCAGTCAATCACACCGGCCGGGGAATTCTGGGAGTTGAAGTCCACCCATCTTAAAAGAAGCAAAGGTGATAAACACTGGCTCTAAATGGGCTGGCAGGAATAGTAGAAAGTGGGCAGAGGTGATGGATTGAGAATTAAAAGTTGGACAGATCATGACTTGGTCCAGCATCTCCAAATAAGGAGATCTCCAAACATAAAAGGATGAAGAACAACTATTCCTCAAAAGTTCTAGTTGGATTTTCTTCTTCAAGGAGGCTCTTCTGCGAAGGAGCATTTCCCCAAATCAGCATCTTTGTTTTGAGTACCACATGATCCCAGCTCTGCCAGCCTTTAGAACAGCGTTTCTCAACCTTGGGAGCGTGAATATAGGTGGACTTCAACTCCCAGAATCCCCCAGCCAGCTGGAGTTGAAGTCCACCCATCTTCAAGCTTTCAAGGTTGAGAAACACTGCTTTAGAAGGACACCAAAAACTTGGTTCTTCCCTCACATATTGAGCCAAACGGCTCTTGAACTGTTCGGATGCATTAATAATACTACCTGCGCCACAGAAGTTTCAATGAGTTTTCTTCTGTCGTGTTTTCCTGTCCTGGATTTTTTTTTTTTTTTGCATAATATTGTGTTTTTTAACACTATAAACCACTCACTTGGGGAAAAGAAGGTGAACATATCCATTGAATCAAATAAACCGAAAGCTCTGAATGTTGGCAGCTTTAAGATATGTGGACTTCTACTCCCAGGATTCTGGGAGTGGAAGTCTACACATCTTAAAAGTTGCCAAGGTTCAGAAATATTGAAATAGACCAAACCACCAAGGAAAAACTGTAAAGGTAAAATGGCTATGGGGGGGGCAGGAGGGGAGTCCCCCTATATCATGGGTCTCAAACTCAATCGCGTCACGTGGCGTATCGCGACAGTTTTTGCCTTTGCGGAGCCAGAGTGGGCGTGGCCTGGGCATGACGCACCCAGCCCACGGGCCGCCAGTTTTGACACCCCTGCCCTATATCATCTTGGAAGTAACCAATCTGCTCAGATTAATACGAGTGAATTTGGATCACTCAGATTTGATGCTGGAGTGTTTCTAATTCTCCACGGAACAGCTTCCCTCCTCTCCGTCTGGCAGCTGTTCCTCGTGGAATTATGTGCTGGATGGAATTCAAAGTGTATACTGTCTCATAATTATATTTAAGATCTTCTGTGTTGTTATATAGAAACATTTCAGCCTTCCAAATAGGCATTCCGATTTAAGCTTCGGCATATGCGTCTTCACTCGTTTTCACAGACGAAATAGCCCAAATAACAATATCCCAAATAATCATTGTCTTGGAACCGAGTTACGGCATCCTGTAACTCAAGGAGTGAGGTGGAAACAGGCTGGCATCTAATCAAGATTATTGTAATCTCTCCCTCCTTCTCGTGCATTATGAGCTCCCCACACCCCCCCCAAAAAATTATGAAGCTCTGGAGGAATCCTCCATATTGTGTATCCTAGATTAACATTTTCCTCAAGGTCTTAGCATTTCCCGGGATTCCCAACGTAGCCGGCAAACAGATGCTCCCTGAGAACCATAAAGATCTGAAGGAGAACCAAATCCCCCTTTTCGACTCGTTTCCCCACAAGTACCGATTTTTTATCCACCCGTCTTTTTTCGCCAACTGCTATGTCGCTCCTCCGTACATGTGAACGGTGCTGTGTTTAAGGAGGTAAGACTTCCGAGTGAACTTCTTCCCACATTCCAAGCACTCGTGGGGTCTCTCCCCCGTATGGATGCCCTCATGGCGTTTAAGATTCGACCTACGACTGAATCTCCGCCCGCAATTCAAACAGCTGTACGTTTTTTCTCCCGGGTGGATTTTTTTTTGTTTAGTGAAGTTTGATTTATGGTAGAAACTCCTTGCGATGATGCTGGAGGCGCCGTACTTCTTAACCATGGGCATTTTGGACTGGCTGAGCTCCCTGTAACTTCCTCGACAAGGAACGGCACTATCGCCCATCTCCTTGGGAAGGAATTTCTGCGGCCAAATTAGTCTGTCTTGGCTTTGGGGAAGGTTTTCCTGCTCCCCGAACGGAGCCACCTGCTCTTCCGTTCTCCCGCCGAGCATCTCGTGCGATGTTTCAGGCTCAGAATTCTCCAGCCCATATTTCTCCATTTTGTCAACGCCTCTACTCCCTTCACCTATGGAGAAATGGAAATAATAATAATAATAATAACCCCAAATAGAAAGCTAAAGAAAATGTTTGGGAGCCATTGGGGGGGGGGGGGGGGGGGGGTAATGGGAAGGCAGCCAAAGAAGGAAAGGGATGGAGTTAAAAATATCCACCCAAAGGAATTGCACTGCATCCAAGTATTTGACCAACTGGCTTTATGTCGTCCGTTTGTATCACTCACCGGCATCTCCAGAGTTCCCCTCATGATTAGCCTCCCTGAACAGTGGTCCCTTCCCACAATCCTCTGCAGCATCCCTCACTTCCTTGAGCACCTGGAAACAGGAGAAAACATCTGTTTCAACAAGGCAGGGAGAGAGATGGAGAAGAGGGGCATTGCAAGGCTGACGACCGGTGGACGGTCAGGATGGGGGTAGTTGGGAAAGTGCCAGACCAGGAATGGGGGAGACCCAGGTTCATTCTGCTCTCAGTCACAGGAATTAAATAGAGGGGACCAGTCCCTCTACCTACCTGTAGAGAGTCAGGAAGGAGTGAAGGAAGGTATGAAGGAATCATTCCCTACGCAAAAGGGGCTGAAGCATTTTTAAAGTCCAGGATAAGATAACACACTCAGAAGGCACCTCTCTAATTCACTTACTTTCAAAGGAGGTGTCAGACCTGGAAGCCATCTTTTACGTTTGGGCCTTCAGGCCTGCCCCATCGTCTTCTGTGGGAAAATGGGAGGGGGAATTGCAGAGCGTGTAGGTGATATGTAGTCAAAATAACATTCCTTTCTCAGAGAGTCAAGGACGCAGTGCCCTGGCACCTGGAGTCGGATGACTGGGGAGTGTCTTCAGTTTGGACTGTGGATGATTGGACCATGGGATGGACATGAGGGTGCTGATCTTTCACTTGGGTGGGGAAAACCTGGAAACTTTCAGATTCGGGTTTTCCCAGATGTGCCAATATGACATCTCTAATAAAAAGTAGCTTTGAGGAAATCCAACCCTCAGAGTTTTCTTTCGTTGGGGGTGTTACATGGAACCCTGACAGGAGGAGGAGGAGGAGGAGGCGGAGGAGGAGGAGGAGGAGGAGGAAGAGGAGGAGGAACCTAGGTGGGTACAGGTAGTCCTCAACATACAATCACAATTGAGCCCAAAATTTATGTTGCCAAGTGAGAAATTTGTTGAGTGAGTTTTGCCCCATTTTACGACTTTTCCTGCCACAGTTGTTAAGTGAACCAGCGCAGTTAGTAACGCGGTTGTTAAGTAAGTCTGGCTTCCCCATTGACTTTGCTTGTCGGAAAGTCGCAAAAGGGGAACACGTGACCTGGAGACACTGCAACCATCCTAAATATGAACCAGTTTCCAAGCATCCAAATGTAAATGACCATGAGGATGCTGCAACGGTCCTGTTCTGTCCCCATCTCACACACGCACACAAACAGACAGCTGGGGGTTAAATAAACTGGCAGACAACCATTTCTTCCGATAAGACGCTTGGCAACAACCCAGTAGCTGCTTGCCAAGAACTTTTACTCAATAAACAAAATACCCCCAGTCAAGAATTGTCCATTTCGTAAAATAAATCCAAGGCTGATAATGTGGTTTCCAAAGATGCAATGTGACTCGATAGTAGTTAGTTTTGTCCGTCACAGAGTCTGAATGGCCACCTCACCCCCTTTTATATCCTGTGGGGTGTGGTCGAGTGACTCAGCCTAATCTCTGGCACGCCTTTTCTTCTGTTGCGCGCGCTTATCTCTGTGACGCTGCCGAGGATCCAGCCAAGATTCATTACCCTCATCACTGTCCACCTGTGGCTGCGTGGACGTGCTTGGCCCTGGCCCTATCTCTTGCCCTTCGGCGGACACCAAAGGCATTGCCAGAGAGGAGGGTCCTGGAGAGGGAGGCCTTACCAGCTCCTCTCCTTCACTCTCGGAGTCTTCTCCTGCCGATGACACAGGCTCAGGTAATGGAGCCACAACAGGTCCTAAGTGTGAAAGGCGGTCATCGGTCACTTTTTTCAGTGGCTGCTATAACTTCGAACGGTCGCTAAATGAACTGTTGTAAGTCGAGGACTACCTGTGTTTTCCCTATTGAGTCTACGATGCTTCCCTGAGGACCTGCAACAATCTGTGAGAATAGCCTTGAGAGACAGGAGGAGGAAAAGACCTAGGCTAGGGCAACAGGACAGGTAGTCCTTGACTTAGAACCATTTGTTTAGTGACCAAAGTTACAACAGCCCTGAAACAAGGAACATGACATTTTTTTTTTACACTTACGACAGTTTCAGCTTTCTCGTGGCCACGTGATCAAAATTCAGGCGCTTGGGAATTGATTCATAATTACGACTGCTGCAGTGTCCTGGCGGGGGGGTCACATGATCCCCTTTTGCGACCTCCTGACAAGCAAACTCACTTAACAAATGTGTTACTAACGTCACAACTGTGACAAGAAAGCAATAGCCATAGCCCTTAGACTTATATACCGCTTCATGGGTGTTTTACAGCCCCCTCTAAGCGGTTTACAGAGGGAGTGGATTGGCCCCCCAACAATCTGGGTCCTCATTTTACTCACCTCAGAAGAATAGAATGGAACAGAATAACAGAATTGGAAGGGACCTTGGGGGTCTTCTAGTCCAATCCCCTGCTTAGGCAGGAAACCCTATATCAGTGATGGCTAACCTTTTTGCCGTCACGGGGGGAGCCCACCCACATCCATAATTCAATGCACCCCACCCCTGCGCATGTGCCCCCCCGCTTTTAGCACGTAATGGCACAGTGGGCCCGGTAGGCCCGTTTTTCACCCTCCCCAGGCTCCAGAAGCTTTCTAGGAGCCTGGGGAGGGTGAAAACAGCCTCCCCACCCCTGGAGGCCAGAAACAGCCCATTTCCCAACTTCCGGTGGGACTGAAAGGCCCATAAATCAGCTGGCTGGCGCACACATGCGCGCTGGAGCTGAGCTACAGCAATGCTTGCGTGCCCACTGATACGGCTCTGGGTGCCATCTGTGGCACCCGTGCCATAGGTTTGCCATCACGGCCCTATATCATTTCAGACAAATGGTCATCCAATCTTTTCTTAAAAACTTCCAGTGTTGGAGCATTCACAATTTCTGGTGGCAAGTTGTTCCACTAATTAATTGTTCCAACTGTCGGGAATTTTCTCCTAAGTTCTAGGTTGCTTTTCTCCTCAATTGGTTTCCACCCACTGCTTCTTGTCCTGCCCTCAGGTGCTTTGGGGAATAGCTTGACTCCCCCTCTTCTTTGAGGCAACCCCTGAGATACTGGAAGACTGCTATCATGTCACTCCTAGTCCTTCTTTTCATCAGACTAAAGAAAAAGGTTCCCCTCGCACATATGTGCTAGGCGTTCCCGACTCCAGGGGGCGGTGCTCATCTCCGTTTCAAAGCCGAAAAACCAGCACTGTCCGAAGACGTCTCCGTGGTCCTGTGGCCAGCATGACTAAATGCCAAATTCACACGGAACACTGTTACCTTCCCACCAAAGGTGGTCCCTATTTTTCTACTTGCATTTTTTACGTGCTTTCGAAGTCCTAATTCATCAGAACTGCTAGTTCATCAGACTAGACCAGTGGTGAAATGTAAAATTTGTTACTACCAGTTCTGTGGGCGTGGCTTGGTGGGGAGGGGTTAATGTGATTGGGTGGGTGTGGCCAACTTTTTTTTTTTTAACCTTTAAAAGCATTTTTTCTACAACCTTAAGAGGTTGCAGAAAAAAATGCTTTTAAAAGCCTCTGACGATCAGGCAGCTCAGCTGGGATCGTCAGAGGCTTTTAAAGGCATTTTTTTTCTTACAACCTCTTCAGCTGAAGAGGTTGTAGAACAAATGCTTTTAAAAGCCTCTGACGATCCCAGCTGAGCCGCGCGATCATCAGAGGCTTTTTTTTAACTTTTAAAAGCATTTTTTCGGCTGAAGAGGTTGTAGAAAAAATGCTTTTAAAAGTAAAAAAAAAAAAAGCCTCTGATGATCGTGCGGCTCAGCGGGGCATGGGGGGGTGAGCGCAGGGATTTTTGCTACCGGTTCTCCGAACCACCTGCCACCATTGCTACCAGATTGGGCAATCCGGTCCAAACCGGGAACATTTCACTCCTGGACTAGACTTAACAGCTGTCTCGTTCAGCAATGGAAATTTGGGACTCAATTGTGATCGTAAATTGAGGACTACCCATATAAGAAAACTGGTAAGAGACTTCTCTCGGCCCACCAAAGGAATTGGGGGGGGGGTAAGCTTCTCCAACAGGGACCCTCCCCCAGCCCCTGGAAAATAAAGGCAAGAAGAGAAAAATATACTTTGAGACTAGCAAGATTCAGTAACCATGCAAAACAGGTAGTGTTTATACTCATGGTTTGTTGTCTAGACTAAGTTGAAGGGCTGGCATACACCGAAACCACGTTAGGTAATGGCAGATTCTGGACTCAGCGTTCTGCCAGACCCTGAAAGGTTCTTTTGATGGCACAGCTGCCAGTCCCAAAGATTGACTTGCATCTCTTGCTTCACACACCTGGTTTGATCTGCAAAGGAAGGTCCCAAACCTTGCGGTCCCAACTGCAACCTCCCGAATCGACTTACCTCCTGCTCCTGATGTTGATGCCCTTCCTCTTGCATTTGCAGAAAGTCCTCAGCCAGGGACACCGCCTGAATGCAAGTCTCGGGGCTGTTTCCACGGACCCAGCTCTGGATCTCGGGCGGCAAGATGGCCAAGAATTGCTCCAGGATCAACAACTCCAGGATCTGCTCCTTGGAGTGATGCTCCACCTTCAGCCATTGGTGGCAAAGCGCCTGCAGCCGGCTATATGCCCCTCGCGGCCCCTCGGCCTCCTGGTAGCAGAAGCGGCGGAAGTGCTGGCGCAGCTTCTCGCGGCCCAGGGCGTCCCTGTGCAAAATGGCCGCCTTCACTTTACCATAATCCTCTCGCTCGGAGCTTCCCAGATTGCAATACGCTCGCTCGGCTTCTCCTCGGAGGGCGGGCAGCAGCCGGGATGCCCACTCCTCCCTGGGCCACTGGCAGGCCTCGGCCACCTGTTCGAAGGAAGCCAGGAAGGCCTTGGCGTCATCCCAGGGGGAGGGCTCCTCCTGGACCAGGGACACAAGCCCCCAGGGCTGCTGGGATTCAGACATCTTCAAAAATTCCTGCCACTGGGCTTCCCACTGCTGAGACAGCAGGTCCGGCTCCTGTTTTACCAGTTGCTCCGTTCCCTCGAGCCCTCTGCAGCTCTTCCGGTCTCCTCCTACCTCCTCGCCCGATTTGGAAGCCGCTCGGCCCAGATCCTGCCTTTTGAATCCTGGCTGCATCCACTTCTCCAAAGCGGCTTGCAACTGCAGGCTGAATCCCGTCCGGGGCACCTCTCCGTCAGCCATCGGCTTTGTGTGGGCAATGGACAAGCCGGAATCTTTCCAACCGAGACAAGAAGACGATCCGTGAAGGGAAACCTACAGTCGATGGCAAAATGCCTCTCTGGCGTTCTGCGGGAAGAAGAGACCAGTGCCTCAGTTTCCCAACACTTCTAACGGGCCCCGGCTCTCAAGTCACCCGTCCATCCTTCCCGCAGGAGAGAAATAGGTGGGCCGGGTGAGACGAGGCTGAAGCTGCCTTATCTAAAGATGAAGCAGGCATGTGGGTGGACTGAAGCCAGGGATCTTGTCTAAAACAGGGGTCCCCAACCTTTCGGACCTCAGGGACCACTAAATTAATAATTTTTAATCCCACTGACCACTAATATGATCTACCTAATGACCGTCTGGGTGGGCATGGCTGGGGGGGGGGGTCATGTGACTTGGTGGGCGTGGTCAACTCAATGTCACTCACCTCGAGGGGCGCCTCGTCGGCTTCTACTTGCCCCTCTCCACCCCGCCACTCTTCGCCTCCCTATCCGGGCTCCTTAGGGCCCCAACAGGAAGCAGTTGTTGGAGCTAAGCAGCCACCAAGAGAAAGAGTTGGCAAAACCGCTCAGTTCAAATTGGATCTAACCGAGAAGGAGGCTCAGCAGAAGCACCTCACTGAGGACTAGGAGCATAGGCTTTCCAAGCAGAGGGAAGACCTGCGGAAGTGCAAAGCCAGGTACAGACGCCTGGAGGCTCAGAGGGCTGAGATGGTCAGCCAGTTCCAGGCCATGATGCAGTCCCACTGGAACGAGGCCCTCGGGCTCTGCGCCACCAGCGGCTCTTCCCACCAGCCTTCTCCCAAAGCCCCATACCAGGAGGCCAAAGCAGACCCCAAGTCAGAATTTCTGTCCCCCTCTGACCTGCACAAAAAGACCCCCGAAGGGGGAGACTCTCTGCAGCAACACAAATGTTCATTGCATGTATCCAAGACCTTGGTGCCTTACGCCGTGCCCTTAAAACTTTTCTTTTTTCAGCAAGCCAGGCTGGCTTAATATATTTTTTAAATATTTTTAATTGGTTTGTTATTTTAAATTGGGGCCAAATTAATATATATCTTTTTAATTGTTTTTAATGTTTGTATTGTATGTTTTTTAATCTGGCTGTATACCACCCTGAGTCCCTCGGGAGAAGGTGCGGTATATAAATTCGAAATAAAATAAATAAAAATAAATAAATAAATAAATGTATTCAGCCCATGGGCCGTAGTTTGAGGACCCCCGATTTTGTGCAATATAAAAAAATCCAAATAATTTTTCTGTGGACCACCAAAATTTTTCACCAGTTGATGACACGCTGGTCTAAAAGATCCCCTCAGGGAGGTATTTAAAAGAGGGAACCAAATAGTTAAGGAAACAAAGGAGTGGGAGGAAGTCACCTAAACCAGACAAAAGAAGTTGGGCCTCACCCCAAGGAAACCCCCTCCCTCCCCCAAAAGCCCATCAGCTTGTAAATCAGCAAGAGAAGAGCAGCTGCCATCTTGCCAATCAAACAGAACAAAGCACAGATTTGGGGGGGGGAAGGATAAAAGGGGCCCTGAGGCCTGTCTGACTCATAAAAGGTAGTCTTCAACTTACAACAACTACTGAACCCCAAATTTCCGTTGCTAAGCGAGTGAGGTTTGCCTCCCTTTACAATCTTTTGCCCCCGTTGTTAACTGAATCGCTGCGGTTGTTCAGAGAATCATGAGGTCGTTAAGCGAATCTGGCTTCCCCTCTTGACTTGGTTGGGCTGGGAAGGTTACAAATTTTTATTTATTTATTTATTTTATTTCTATACCGCCCTTCTCCCGAAGGACTCAGGGCGGTGTACAGCCTGATTAAAAGCACAAAGACAGACAAAATGGTGATCGTATGATCCTGGGACAGTTGCTAGGGGCCCCGAATTTTGATCGCATGATCAATGGGAATGTTGCCACGGTCATAAGTGTCAAAACTGGTCATAAGTGTGAAAACTGGTCATAGGTCTCTCTTTTCAGTGCCATTGTAACTTCGAATGGTCACTAAGCAAACTGTTGTAAGTCAGGGACATTAGTTGTTGACTTACGACCATTTATTCAGCCATCATTCAAAGTTAGGACGGCCCTGAAAAAGTGGTACTTATGACCCATCTTTGGAGTTCCAACTTTTTGCAATATTCCCAGGGTCACTTAAATCATGATTTCAGATGTTCGTTGCTGGTTTCCCACAAGCAAAGAACGGACAAGCCGGCAGGAAGTCACAATCCTGTGAGGTCCTCACTTAACAACCCACATGCTCCTAGCTTAACAATTAACAACTGGAACTGCCGGAATTGCTGTTGCTAAGCAGTGAAGACATGCGATTTTGCATCGCTTAGCAACGGCAATTCCAGTCCCAATTGCTATTTTAAAAAAATACAACATTGAAAAGGGGGGGGGGGAGTAGGAATTGAACCCACAGCTCCACTAAGGGGACTCCCAGAGGGTTAAAAAACAGCAGCCACCCTTCAAGGAGCTTGGTCAGTATTTAAAAACTGGATGGAGACAAATTCTGAACTAACAGTAGGAAAAATACAGGTAGTCCTTGATTTACAATCACAATTGAGCCCAAAATGGATGTTGCTGAGTGAGACATTTATTAAGTGAGTTTTGCTCCTTTTTATGACTTTTTTTGCCACAGTTGTTAAGTGAATCTGGCTTCCCCATCGATTTCCCCATCACATGACCATGGGAGGTGCTGCAACGGTCATAAGGGTGAAAAATGGTCACTTTCAGTGCCATTGTAACTTCGGTCATTAAATTAACTGTTGTAAGTCGAGGACTACTTGTATTTTTCTCCCCAATTTGCGCTGACAATACTGGTCTTTCTACAGTTCCGATGTGCAGTAGATTCAGATGTAAAAAATAGAGATTTGGGTGTAACAACTCACCAGCATGGGTCAAGGCCGAACAACTGTATAAGTAGTCCTCGACTTACAACAGTTCGTTTAGTGACCAAAGTTACAAAGGCACTGGAAAAAGTGACTTGCGACCATTTTGGCATTCCCATGGGTCAAGTGATCAAAATTCAGATGCTTGGCAACTCATATTTATGAACGTTGACTCAAATATGACTCATATTTATGAACGTTGCAATATCCCGGGGATCATATGATCTGCTTTTGCAACCTTTCCCACAAGCCAAGTCCATGGGGGAAGCCAGATGCAATCAAAACCGTGTTACTAACTTAACATCTGCAAGGATTCCCTTAACAACGGTGGCAAGAAAGGTCGTAAAACGAGGCAAGACTCACTTAACAAATGTCTCTCTTAGCAACAGACCCTCAATGGGAGATCCTACGTTCGAGAGCTACCTGTATTTGGCATAACATCTTAACCTTGGCAAATCTTTCCTGGCTTGGCATCTCCGGTACAATTACGGTTCAAAGTAATGAACCCCATATAGGAGTTTAAGTATTATTATTTAATTATTTTTTAAATTGTTTTTAAATTTTATATGCAATGTTTTATCTTGGCTGTACACCGCCCTGAGTCCCGCAGAAGGGCGGTATAGAAATAATATAAAATAAATAAATAAATTATTTCTTTTCAGAAGCTCAGGGGGGGGGGAGCAGAGAGAACACCCCAGCCTCCGAACTGCCCCCCCACATATAAAATAGGTTGAGCTATAAGAGAAGGACTGAATCAAAATCCGAATACAACTGGAAGGGACCTTGGAGGTCTTTTAGTCCAGCCCACTGCCAGAGCTGGAGATCCTTTCCCATTTCAGACAAGGGACTGTCCAGTCTCTTCTTTAAAAAAAAAAACAAACCTCCAGGGATGAAGTCCCTACAATGTCTGGTGGCAAGCTGTTCCACTGGTTAGTCCCCACCCCCACCCCCCCAATTTTGAGGAACTTTCTCCTTCATTCCAGGTTGCTTCTCTCCTTGACTAGTCCCCATCCATTGTTTCCTCTCCTGCCTTCTGGTGCTTTGGAAAATAAATTGACACCCCACCCCACCCCTCCTCTTGGTGCCAGCCCTTCAAATACTGGAAGACTGCTGTCCCCATAGGACCCCCTCCCCAAAGAAGCTACCAGGACTAAGAGAAGGGGGGGGGGAGGAAACTAGAATTGGGTCTCCCCACTCCTTCCAAATTTTGGCTCTGGGGCTCAATGGGAGGGGGGCCTGCCCCAAAGGTCCCAATAGCTCCCATAGCTAAAGGGGGGGGGGTATCCAGGCTCCAGATCCTGAGTTCCCACCCACCCACCCCAACCCTGAAATATTAGGCTGGCAACTCTGCAAATCTGGATTTGCTTTAAGGATCTTCCCGGGGAGGGTGGGAGTCAGATCCCATCGAAATCAACACGGGGGCTTTTACTTTCTTAACCCCCCCCACCCCGCTTTCCGCGCTCCGATCGGCCACTCACCCGGATTCCTGCGGGAGATTTTTCCCCCCCCTCGAAAATGAGCCTCCCCTCCCCACTTTATATACAAGGAAGTGGACCTCGCTGCGAGCCAGAAGCATTAAATAAATACAGCTGCTTCCGTGGGAGGGCTCTGAGCAGGAAGGGGTGAGGCTCCATGGAGTCAAATAGCAAATTGCCTCTGAAATGCACTTTTTTTGTTTTTTTTTCTTTCTTTCTTTCCCCCCATTGGGCCCAGGGGGGCGCTTTTTAAAGAGCTTTTGTTGTGGTGGTGATTGTGGTGGTGGGTGATTTTTGCAAAGATTTCCCCCCACCCCCATTCCCCAGAATGGGATCTAGGGTTGCCAGGTCTGCTTCCCCAAAAATAGCTGACAAGCGGTGTGTGTGTGTGTGTGTGTGTTTAAGTAGTAAAAAAATAAAAAATTACAATTACAATTAAATTATATATTTTCTTACAAACATTTTAACACATTTCCATCCTTTCTAAGGTAGAAAAAATTGAGGACCCAGTTTGTGGGGGCAATAAGCTGACTTTGTATAAATATACAAAAATATGAAGGCTGTTGCTTAAGGCATTGTAAGCCGCCCTGAGTCTCCGGAGAAGGGCGGCATATAAATCAAATTAAAAAAAAAAAAAACAAAAAAACACGTATTAAAATAATCACTTCAAAACTTTACTTAAAATTCAAAACTATAAATATAAATATTTATAGTTTTCAAACATTCAAATATAAATATATTTGAATAAATACAAAATTCAAATATAATAATATGTAAAATATTACATTCCATTTTAATTTCATCATAAAGCTTTTGAATAAAAAAAAAATGTCCACTATTTTGTGAAAAAAAAAATAGTGAACATAATGTGAAAAAAAGCGGACTGTCCGCTCAAATAGTGGACACCTGGCAACACTAACCCAGTGTGAAAAGGTGAATTAATTATTTTTTTCCCCTTGCACCCCCATCTCCCTTGGATGCTTATGTCGTTTTATAATGTTGCCAGGTGTCCACTATTTGAGCGGACAGTCTGCTTTTTTCACATTATGTTCACTGTTTTTTTTCACAAAATAGTGGACATCTTTTTTTATTCAAAAGCTTTATGATGAAATTAAAATGTAATTTAATATTTTACCTATTATTATATTTGATGTTTTGAATTTTAAGTAAAGTTTTGAAGTGATTATTTTAATACGTAGTTTTTTTTTTGTTTTTTTTTTAATTTGATCTATATGCAGCCCTTCTCCGGAGACTCAGGGCGGCTTACAATGCGTTAAGCAATATTTATTATATTTTATTTATTTTATATTTTATTTGATTTCTATACCGCCCTACTCCCGAAGGACTCAGGGCGGTGCACAGCCAAACAATAAAACACATACATACAAAATTTAAAAGTAAAATTAAAATCAAATTAAATAATTTTGGCCCAGACAAATTAAAACCCCAAACTATTTAAAACCAATTTTAAAACTGAATATATAAAATACTAAAAGATATTTAAAAATTAAAAATCTTTTATAAAAGAGGGGCCTTCATACTTTTGTATATTTATACAAAGTCAGTTTATTGACCCCACAAACTGGGTCCTCAATTTACCTACCTTAGAAAGGATGAAAATGTGTTAAAATGTTTGTAAGAAAATATATAATTTAATTGTATTTTTTTTTTTTTACTACTTAACCCCCCCTCCCCCCGCTTGTCCGCTATTTTTTGGAAGCAGATCTGGCAACCCTATAAAATGTCGATTTTCTCTCTCTCTTTCTTTTTTTTGGAAGCTCCTCCTTTGCTCGGATCGCACTTTGCAAAAAGGGAAAGGAGGAAAAAAAAAAAAAGACGAGAAAGGAGGGGAAAAAAAAGCCTCCAGTCGAAAGGCGCCTTTTTGTGCCTTCGCGACGGTTCCTGGGAAATGTAGTCTTTCGCAAGCGGGAAGATTTTTACCCCCCCCCCAAAAAAAGATGGTCTCTGGGTCTCTTTTTATCTTTTGACCGATAGTCTTTTTTTAAAAAAATATGAAGGCGATGTAAACAAGGGCAAACAAGAATAATAACTCAACGCTGTGGACACAATGAAACAATCGTCTATTTATGATTAAAATAAACTTAAGATGTAAGGAGGGGAGGGAAAGCAGGGGGTTGGACTAGATGACCTCCAAGGTCTCTTCTGTTACTGTTACATCCATACAATATAGAACTAGTTCTGCCCTTTTCCAAATTACTTAGGTAAGGGGTCTGCAACCTTAAAACACTCAAAAGAGCCATTTGGACCCATTTTCCACAGAAAAGAAAATACCGGGAGCCACAAAACCCTTCCCGGGCCTGACTATTTCTTGAGCGGCCACAAAACTAGGATATGTAGTTGAATTAAGCGTTCTGTTTTCTAGTTTACTAAGTATATCCTTATCCACTTTCTTTTCGCTTAATCCAATCATACCACTTGTCCCATACCTTAAAATACTTTGAGCTTTCCTTATCCTTTCATTTCAGTGTTAGTTGATCTGATTCCGCACATGCATATATTTTTTGTATCATCTGTTGGTCGGTTGGCAAATGATCCGTCTTCCAAACCTGTGCAATCGCTATTCTGGCCGCTGTAATTTATATGATGTATCAAATATGTCATTTCTTTTCTAATATTTTGTTTATATATTCCTAATAAAAAAATCTCTGGGTCTAATTCTATTTCTTCTCCTGTAATTTGTGATAATCTTGATGAGTATTAAATTTTACTTTTCTTTCTTTCTTTCTTTTTTTTTTCTAATAGTGAATTTTAAATTAAGAACTGATAATTGGGAGTGTATTTCCATGCTTATTTCATATAAATACCAACAATGACTTCACCGTCGTGAGGATGAAGGTGGGACTAGGTTATGAAATATATAATGTGTAGAGGAGAAGAATATATATAGATATGTAAAAGAATAGAAATGAAATGTCAATTATAAGATATGATCTATGTATATGAATATTTTATTATGGTTTTAATTGTTTTTATAATTGTTTGATAATTTAATAAAGTTTGTTTTAAAATAAAAAAATAAAAAATAAACATTCTGTTTTCTTGTGAAACTTTTCTTTTCTTGGATTTATCCATGGTTGGCCTACTGGGGGTTGAAAAGCTCAATAAATGGTGTGCCGGCGGGTGTCGCACATTGGCCGTTGCAATGCATATTTTGAGTGACAGGGAGCTGCAGCAGAGGTGTGAAAGAGCCACATGTGGCTCCAGAGCCGCAGGTTGCTGACCCCTGACTTAGGTAGACCAAGGGTGAGGAACTATGGCCCCTTTATGACTTGTGGACTTCAACTCCCAGAATTCCTGAGCCAGCCAGGAATACTGGGAGTTGAAGTCCACAAGTCATAAAGGGGGCCAATGGTTTGAGAAACCTCTGAACTAGACCAATGTTTCTCAAACTTGGCAACTTTTAAGAAATGTGGACTTCAACTCCCAGAGTTCCCCAGCACGCTGGCTAGGGATTTCCAGGAGTTGAAATGCATAAATTTGGACTTCAAGCTAAATTTGGGAGATAGTGAACTAACTAGACCGTAGTGAAAAAATATTGCATTTTTAAAATCGGGTGTCCACAGTCCATTCTGACTCTTTTGAATCCCAGGCTCAACAGAAGTGGATAGATATTTAAGTCATATCTATCTCTACAATTAAGATTGGTGAGATTATAATCCAGTGGGTCTCAACCTTGGCAACTTTAATTCCCCATTTGATTCTGAGAGTTGAAATCCACACATTTTAAGGTTGAGACACATTGCAGTAGTAGTGGTTTAAGAATAAAATATACTTTTCCTTTAAGTCTCATTATGCTCAACAGAGCCTGTAAAAATATATATGTAAAGTGTTTCAACCCTGCCTTTTAGATATTTTGAACAGATGAGCCTTCCTATCATTACAGGGACACAGAATGGAAACTGGCATTCTTTTCAGGAGCCGATTTTGCGAAATAACATAATTTTCTATTTGAATTTGTGAAATATGTTTTGGAACATGTAGGAAAAAAGACTGCTGTATGTTGTAGACAGGTTGTGTGTTCACTCAATTTTTGGAAATCAAATCGAGAACCACTGTGCAATCCTAAAAATATTTGGGTCTCCACAGAGGTGGGTTTCAGCAGGTTCTGACCAGTTCTGGAGAACCAGTAGCGAAAATTTTGAGTAGTTCGGAGAACCAGTAGTAAAAATTTTGACTGGCCCCGCTCCAATCTATTCTCTGCCTCCCGAGTCCCAGATGATTGGGAGGAAATGGGGATTTTGCAGTATCCTTCCCCTAGAGTGGGGTGGGAATGGAGATTTTACAGTATTCTTCCTCTGCCACACCCACCAAGCCACACCCACAGAACCGGTAGTAAAAAAATTTAAAACCCACCAGTGGGTTTCCATCAACTTAACAGAATAACAGAGATGGAAGGGACCTTGGAGGTCTTCTAGTCCAACCCCCTGCTTAGGCAAGAAATCTTATACCATTTCAGGCAAATGATTATCCAACATCATCTTAAAAACTTCCAGTTTTGGAGCATTCACAACTTCTGGAGGCAAAGCTATTCTGCCGATTAATTGTTATTTATTACTTATTTTATTATTATTTTATTTGATTTTTATACCGCCCTTCTCCAACAGGACTCAGGGCGGTGAATACCAGTCCGGAGGTCTGGTATTGTGCGTATCTCTGGGGGTAGGTTGTTCCAGAGGGCAGGTGCCGCCACAGAGAAGGCTCTCTCCCTGGGAGTCGCCAGCTGACATTGTCTGGCCGACGGCACCCTGAGGAGGCCCTTTCTGTGCGAGCGAACTGGCCGGTGGGAGGCTTTTGGCGGCAGAAGGCGGTCTCGTAGATACCCCGGCCCTAAGCCATGGAGCGCTTTAAAGGTGGTCACCAACACCTTGAAGCGCACCCGGAAGACCACCGGAAGCCAGTGCAGCTCGCGCAGGAGAGGTGTCACATGGGAGCGCTCCATCGCTCCCATAATCCCCCGCACGGCCACATTCTGGACCAATGGAGCCTCCGGGTGCACCCTAAGGGGAGCCCCATGTAGAGAACATTGCAGTAGTCCAGGCGGGAAGTGACGAGTGCCTGAGTGACCGTGCGTAGGGAGTCCCGATCCAGAAAGGGACGCAACTGGCGTATCAGGCGGACTTGATAAAAAGCCCCCCTGGCCACGGCCGTCATATGCTCTTCTAAAGACAGCCGTGCATCCAGGAGGATGCCCAAGTTGCGAGCCCTCTCCGTGGGGAGGAGGAGGAGAGGGCTCTTGCTGTTAGGAAATTGTTCTTGCTGTTAGGAAATTTCTCCTTAGTTCTAGGTTCTCTCCTTGATTAGTTTCCATCGTTTCTTGTCTTGCCTTCTTCTGGTGCTTTGGAAAATAGGTTGAGCCTCTCCTTTTTGTGGCAGCCCCTCAGATATTGGAACACTGCTGTAATGTCACCCCTGGTCCTTCTTTTCACTTGCTGACTCGGATATAGGCACCTGCTGCCATGGGCAATGATGAAAAAAATGACCGAACATTGCATTGCAGATCCTCTCATAATCACCTCCCAGCATCAATATGTAAATCACAGGGATTGAATTATGACATCACAACACATGTTTGATCATCCTTGCCCTCCTTAGATACCTGAAGTGTTTGGCTCAGGGTTTTGTCAACTCTTAAATAATCTCCCTCTTTATCTCTCTCTCCTAGAGAAGCTGTGATCTATTGGACCATCCGTTCAGAAATATTTCCTTATCAGTTTTCTCAAGGCCTTCAACAATGACGGAGCTTCTAAGGTAATGTGTCCGCTGGAAAAGCTGGGATACATTCACAGATGTAGGAATTGGGTATGTCTACTCTGGTGAAAAGAAGGACTAGGGGAGACATGATAGCTGTGTTCTAATATTTGAGGGGCTGCTACAAAGAAGAGGGAGTCAAACGGGGGTGAAATCCAGCAGGTTCTGGAGAACCGGTAGCGGAAATTTTGAGTAGTTCGGAGAACCGGCAAATACCACCTCTGGCTGGTCCCAGAGTGGGGTGGGAATGGAGATTTTGCAGTATCCTTCTTCTGCCACACCCGCCAAGCCACGCCCACAGAACCCTTAGTAAAAGAATTTGGATTTCACCACTGGAGTCAAGCTATTCTCCAAAGCACCTGAAGCCAGGACAAGAAACAATCGATGGAAACTAAGCAAAGAGAGAAGCAACCTAAAAATAAGGAGAAATTTCCTGACAGTGAGAAGAATTAACAATTAATTAATTGTTCCAGTATCTCAGGGATTGCCACAAAGAGCGAGTCAAGCTATTCTCCAAAGCCCCTGAAGGCAGGACAAGAAGCAACGGATGGAAACTAATCAAGGAGAGAAGCAACCTAGAACTAAGGAGAAATTCCCTGACAGAAGAATTAATCAGTGGGAACAACTTGCCTCCAGAATAATAACCCATTTGGAACTGTATGCCAGTCAGACATCAGCGTAGCAAATGTTTTGTGACGTTTGGTATGGTTTGTATTTATTTATATGCTGCCTGTGTTATTTTTACAAATTAACTCAAAAGCTGGGAACACTATCCAACGCACCTTCCTCCTATTTTCCCTACAACATCCATCCCGTGAGGTGGGCTGGGCTAAGAGAGACCAGGCCCAAAATCACCCAGCAGGCTTTCATGGCTAAAATGGGACTATGAACTCGTGGTCTCCCACTTTCTAGTCCGGTGCCTTAACCGCTAGACCAAACTGCCTGTCATAAGCTGCTTTAGTATAATGTTTATGTCATAAAATGTTTTTATCAGTTTTGCAAAATCTCAATTTTACGGGTGTCGTGGGTCCCACATTTGGCTGCATTCTAAAAAGTACCAAGGTACCATCTGAGGTACCTTGATTCAAAAGATTTCACCCTGCAGCGCATCCTTTCACACATCCTGTAACTTACATGTGTGTTTGCATGAAGTAAAAAATGAAATCATTTTTAAAAACTTAAAATCTTGAAATCTCACAAGGTTTCTCATGAAACGTGAGTTCCCTCTCATCCCTCCAAATTCTGATGTGGTCTTTGAAAAGAAGACTCAGGCTTCAAGCTATGGATTTTTTCCTTAATTTAAAAAATAATAATTTAATTTAATTTAATGGCTAAATTTTTAAAAATTTTAAATGGCTAATTTTTAAAAAAACCTTGAGAATAGTATTCCCTGAAAATCCAGTCCGATATTAAGTGGAGATCTTTTACTCTTTTGCATAAATCCATATATATCACATAGATCTATCTATCTATCTATCTATCTATCTATCTATCTATCGATCGATCGATCGATCGATCGATCGATCGATCGATATAGATATGATGTACCCTGTTTCCCCAAAAATAAGACATCCCCTGATTATAGCCACTCTGAGTCTTCGGAGAGGGGCGGCATAGAAATTGAATTAATTAAATTAAATTAAATAAGCCCAATCGGGCTTTTGAGCGCATGCCCATTATTTACGGGACTGCCTGCTACCACCAATAGCCTCCCACCGGCCGCTACGCTCTCGTAGAGAGGGGCTCCTCCGGGTGCCGTCAGCCAAACCATGTCGACTGGCGGCCCACAGGGGGAGAGCCTTCTCTGTGGGGGCACCTACTATCTGGAATGAGCTCCCCCCGGAGATACGGAGGATCCCGCATCTGCGCACCTTCCGTCGCGCTCTCAAAACTTTTTTATTCCATCAAGCCGGCCTGGCCTAAATCGTTCCCCTTTAAAATGTAAATTTTAATTTGTTTTTTAAATTATTGGGTGTTTTAAATTTGTCTCGGCCAAAATTGTTTAATTCGGTTTTATTCTGTTTTTAAATTTTGTATTATGTGTTTTATTTTGTGGCTGTTTACCGCCCTGAGTCCTTCGGGAGAAGGGCGGTATACAAATCCAATAAATGAAATGAAATGAAAATGAAATGCACTAAAATAAGCCTCCCCCTGAAAATAAACCCTCCCCAAAAATATTTAAACGCAGAGCTAGAAATCAGGTAAGACGGCAAAAGGAGCCCCATCTTGCTCCATGTGCCCTAAAATGATAAGACCTCCCTGAAAATAAGGCCAAGCGCTTATTTCGGGGTTCAAAAAAATATAAGACAGGGTCTTATTTTCGGGGAAACACAGTGTGTATGTATGTATTACAGGTAGTCCTCAATTTATGACCACAACAGAGCCCAAAATTTATGTTGCTAAGTGAGACATTTGTTAAGTGAGTTTTGCCACGTTTTCTTGCCATGTTTGTTAAGCGAATCACTGCATTTGTTAAATGAATAACCGTTATTAAATGAATCTGGTTTCTTCATTGACTTTGCTTGTCAGAAGGTTGCAAAAGGGATCACGTGACCCCGGGACACTGCAATCGTCATAAATGTGAGTCAGTTGCCAAGCATCTGAATATAGATCACATGACCATGGGGATGCTTCAAGGGTCATAAGGGTGAAAAATAGTCATAAAAGTCACTCGGTGCCATTGTAACTTTGAACGGTCACTAAATGAACTGTTGTTAAGTTGAGGACTACCTGTATTACACTACTTCCCATATCAATGAATATTTCTTTGCCCAGAAAAAAAATTGCCATCACAATCACTGGACTCTTGAAGAAAGCAAGAATATTAGAGAAAGTGTTGCAATAATTCCCACGCTGGACATGCGAAAGAGATGTTGCTTCGGATCCAATGTTCTTATTAGGTTTATTCTAATCAGCTTCTGCGAAGAGTAACAAATTTCGACCTTCCCTCTCCATCGACAGAGATTGTGCCCATCACTCACCTGCCACAGAGAACCACAGAGAAACTAATTTTCTGAGAAATCAGTCAAAGGCTGAAATATTTCAGCCTATCTCCAGCAGGAAAGCGGGAATGCAGAGCGTGAAAACAAGCATCGGGTTACGTTAATGATAATTAAGTAAACAGAACAGATTCAATTCTTTCCAAAGGGAAGTTTGCTATACATATTGAGTGGCTGGATTAAGAAACAGCTGAGTTAAAAAAAAGAGTCATTCAGTTCCTACTTAGAGCAGCCAAATCAGTCGACGCTAAAGAATAAAAATGCCTAGGTAATATTTCAGAGGGCAGATGCCCCGTGTTGAAGTACCCACCTCTTCAAGTTGCCAAGGTTAAGCAACAACCGCTTAGCATAACATCTGAGAAACAAGTTTGTTATCCCGACATTATGGGCCTGTTAAAATTGTACCAGCAGCACTATTTGTAAATGTTTGAAATTCTCACGAGAATCCCAATTTTTAAAAAGTATTAAAAAGTGTTAATAGGCGAACCCAGATCAACATGACGAAAGTGGCGTTGTAACATTGCAGAGCAAGCTCTGTCCTTTTCTTATGTGCGAACGTCCTGGCACATATACTAAAGTGGTGGAGCTCATGTCACAATGTCACACGTGCTTTCATCATTTTCCTCTCCCTGCATATACTCTGGATGCCTAGAAGTAACATAAAAACCGAGCATTTCATTTAAAAGAGCTACAGTGCAAAAGAACGCCAGGGTTACCTACAACCAGTTATACATTGCAGTCATTCCCATTCACTCAAAAACTTGCCAATTCTTTGATATGGCTACCATATTTTGGAACACAGGTAGTCCACATTTAGCACCCACAATTGGGACCGGCAGGTGTTGTTAAGTGAAGCGGTCACTAAGTGGGAAATCACATGACTGTCACTGGGTTTCCCTTTTTTTCTATTTTCCCAATCCTCTGGAATGCTAAACCCGGCACTGGGATAATAAGCAAAAAGGGAATTAACATGTATATTTACATTCATTGGAGAGAAAGGGATTGCAAGGGAGTAAGCAAGCACACAATAGGGAATATGCATTGAAATCAATGTCTTGGTTCTGGCTATGTAAACAGCCCAATGTAGTCCCCACTGTGTGTTTTGCTTACTCTCTTGTAATCCCCTCATCCCTCCGTTCTGTGAGGGGGGGCAGAAAAGAGGGTTTTCTGTAGGCAAGGTCTCCTACGCCTGACCTGTCTTCTCCCCACCCTGCTTACACAGTGGAGAGTTTGAAGAGGAAGGGATTACAAGAGAGTAAGCGGGTACATAATGGAGAATACACTGGCTGCTATTGCCACTACCTTGCTTTTAATGTGTATTCCCCGTTTTGTGCCCACTTACTCTCTTGTAATCTTCTCCAATCTCTCCAATCTGCAAGGAAGGCGACAAAGAAAAAGAAAAACAACAGGTCAGGCACAGGACAAAGCATACTGACTGTGAGACCGATCACGTGACCAAGGAACGCTATGAAGGTTGTTAAGGGCAGACATCAGTCGTAAAGTTAGCTTTTCAGCACTGACGTAACTTTGGTCACTGAATGAAGCAGTCAGTAAGTGAGGACAACCCACATTGTTGTTTCACTGAGGCAGCGGACAGTTTCATCTTTTCATCTTTGTCTTCAGCATATTTGATGGACCAAACAGACAGTGCTGTTTCCCCACACAACCACAACAGTCAAGTCTATTTTAGATCTTAATTTGAGTGTTTCTTCTGCAAAACGGCAACCCACCGCTTGTGACCTGAGGCTGGCGGGTCGCGCATTCCTGGTGGTTTTAAGTGCTCAGTGCTGTGAACTACAAGGAAACAAAGTTGTGAGGACACCAAGGAGGGGGAGCTCCTGAGGAGAAACCAATTTCCAAACTCAAGGCAAAAGAGTGCCATCCTATTACAGCTGCCACCATTACTGGGGGGGACTGAGAAAGGTAAGCCGATGGCTTCTCTCGCGCATGCTTTCTCACAAAGTGCTTGACCACGTGTGCCCGCTGGGTGAAGTTCTTCCGGCAGATGGCACACTTGTAGGGCTTCTCTCCCGTGTGCATCCTCTGGTGCACCAACAGGCCCGAGGAATGCCGGAAGTGCTTCCCACACTCCGAGCACTGATACGGCTTCTGCTCGGTATGGATCACAATGTGGGTTAGAAGAGTCGTCTTCTGATTAAAGCTTCTCCCACAGTCGGAGCACTGATACGGCTTCTCTCCCGTGTGGATTCTCTTGTGTCGGTTCACGCTCGATTGCGTGGCAAAGACCTTCCCACAAATCGGACAGGGACTCCCCTGCCTTCCCTTATACAACGTCGGCGAGCTGTTCATTTTATCGAGGTCATCGTACGGACCGATCATGGCTACATTTTTGTCTTCGGCTATCTCACCTTCTGCCTGTTTCTCGCGGTCTTCTTCTAGAGGGCCAAAGACTCCGTCTTTCCACTCCCCTTTCAACTGTCCTGCGGTGAGCTCCTTCTTCTGCCCGTTCAACAACCTCCCCAATTCTAATCTCTGCCGGAAGCTCTTCTTACAAGAAATGCACTTGTACACCTTCTCTCCGGTGTGGTCGATCTGGTAGGCGTTGACACCCCACTTTGGTTTGAAGTTTTTCCCACAGTCCGAACACTGATACGACTTGTCTCTGGCGTGGACCATCTCGTGGGAGAGCAGGTTGGTCTTCCGATTGAAGCTTTTCCCACAGTGAACACATTTGTAGGGCTTCTCTCCGGTATGAATAATAAGATGCCTATTCAGGCTTGATTTTCGGGTAAACGCTCTCCCACAAAGGAGGCAGGTGTGCCGTGGCCCATCTTTGTGCTGTCTCGGGGGGACAGTGAACCTCCAGAGGTTGACCCCATCCAGCTCACTCTGTTTTGAATTCTGCGTCTCATTTTCTTCGGGATAGTCAACAACAACATCTTCTATCTCTGATCGGTCAAAAGTGTCTGTCTGATCTTCCTCAATAGGCTGATACATCTCTTGGTCGCTTTCTAGAATGGGGGTGGGGGTGGGGAAATGTACAACGTTATGTTTTATGTTATCATTGTGAAACACAAGTAATACACCATATTGTTTGGCAACAGTAGTACTTACCGTATTTTTCCGTGTATAAGACGCACCCTTTTACCCCCAAAAAGGGGGTGAAAATCTGGGTGCGTCTTATACGCCGAATGTAGCCCCACCCACCCGCTGGCCCCCACCCTTCGGCCATTTTCGGCCAGTTCCAGGCGGCAGGGATCTGGGTCGGGGCACAGCCTGAGGAACAACCCTCCCTCTTCGGGACAGTGGGGGGGGGGGAAATCTGCCCAGCAGCTTTGGGGAACAAGGCGGGTGCCACGATTTGCGGCTGGTCACCCCTCTGGCCGCGCTGACTTCACTCCCCAGCAATGTGAGGAGCCGCTGCCACCGCTGCCTAACCCTCTCTGCGCCCAGGAGCCAAGCCGAGCTGAATGGGAGCCCCTAAAGGGAAACGTTCCTCCTTTCCAGCCATCGCTGCCCGGATTCCAAAATGCAAACCTCAAGAGTCGCGCTTCAGGTGGCGGCCAGTTCCCCTGCAATGTGCAGCGGGGAACTGGGAAGTGCTTTGGATTCGGGGAGGAGATTGTAGCGCTGACACCTAAAAGTGTTTTTCTGCACATTGCAGAGCCGCGCGCCCCGGTCCTCCTTCTCAGCAGACTCTTCTCTTGCCTCCTGGCCAGATCCGCCGCCTGAAACACGGTGCACTTTCTTTTGTCTCTGCACACACCCCATGTTTGGAATTGGGAAGGGGATCATGGGTTTGGGCGGCAGAGCAGATTTCCCCCCCCCCCCACACACACACACTGTCCCGAAGAGGGAGGGTTGTTCCTCAGGCTGTGCTCTGTCTCTCCCCCCAGAGCATGCTAGGGGTCTCTTTGGGGAAAGCGAGTAGTCCCTGCACCTCTCGCTTGCAGGAGGAAGAGGAGGGCGGCGCCACCTTAAATGCTGGTAGGCAGAGGTAAAATACTTTTTTCCTTGTTCTCCTCCCCCAAAATTAAGGTGCGTCTTATACTCCGGTGCGTCTTATACACCGAAAAATACGGTATATAGATTATGAACATTCTGATGATTTAGCTAACTTAACCCTTTAAAGATAAAAAAGGTTTACAAGTAGGGTTACAATATTACAAGTAGTCCTCGACTTACAACAGTTCAGCACTGAAAAACGTGACTTACGACTGTTTTTCAGTGATGACCTTTGCAGCAACCCCTTAATCTTGTGATCAAAATTCAGATGCTTGGCAACTGGTTCATATTTATGACGGTTTCTGGGTCCCAAGGTTGCGTGATCCCTGTTTGCGACCTTCTGACAAGCATAGTCAATGGGGGAACTGGATTCACTTAACAACCATGTTACTCACTTCTCAATTGCAGCGATGCACTTAACAATTCTGGGACAAGAAAGGTTGTAAAATCGGGGCAAAACTCACTTAACAAATGTCTCACTTCACAACAGAAATTCGGGGTTCCACTGTGGTCGTAAGTCGAGGACAACCTGTATTATGATTTCTAAAATGTTAATGTTTGTAAGCATAAATTTGATTATGCAGAGTTGAGTAACTATCTCAGTGTTTCTCAGCCTTCACAATTTTAAGATGTGTAGATTTCTACTTCTCATGCTGGCTGGGGAATTCTGGGAGTTGAAGTCCACACGTCTTAATCTTGCAAAGGCTAAGAAACAAAAAAAATTAAATATTTAAATAAATAACATAAATAAAACACATATGCAAACATATACACTGGGCAAACCTACGCCCCTAGGTGGCATGATCTGCCATGATCTCTGCCGCCTAGAAAGATTTTTTAAAAAAATTTAAAAAGAGGAAAATGGAAATGTTAACCTTTTTGCCCAATCATAGTTACAGTTAACCATAGGATAGGTTAACATGTATTGGTTTGACAATCACACACACACAAAAAAAAAAAAATCCAAAAATTGGAAGCCAAGAATCAAGCACAATTAAACAGAATGCATGTTCAGTCACCACGCTAAAAAGGATTTTTAAAAGTATTTGGTCTTCTTAACACAGAATCCAGAGCTGAGGAAACAGAAAATCCTGACCTAATAAGGAAGCGTCTTCGTTTCCTTCCAGTTTCATCTCTTTATAGGGAGGTCTCTCTGGGGTCCCCACTGAAGGCTGCTCAGAATCACAGAAATCTCCAGCCTGTTCATCAGCTGGACTTGGGACCTAAAGGAATAATAACAAAAAAAAAAAAAAAAAGACAGAAGATTAGAATTTGTGAGTTGGGCTTATTCTACCTTTTTGATGGAGATAGGTCAAAACTAAACAGAAAAGGAGTTAATTGTATTTTCATCCATGGTTGCAAAATTAAGAATTGCTTAAAAGTGGAAATTTTCAGACAATCTAATTCTCGGATAATTGGCATGCTGAGGCAAGCTCTAACAGGAAAGGTGACTGCTAAAATTCAAATACAGACTAATTTGTATCAGATCTGCTACAGATGCTAGAATGATTAATTACCGTGTTTTTCGGACTATAAGACGCACCTAAATTTAGAAGAGGAAAACAATAAAAAAAGATTTTTGCCCTCTCTTTTTATGGGCATTTTTCCGGCCATTTTCCAGTCTTTTTTCAGCCTGTTTGCAGGGCATTTTTCGGTGCATTTTTGAGGCTTTTTTTCAGGCCATTTTGGGGGCTTTTTTTGGCCCATTTTTGAGACTTTATTGGGGGTGTTTTTGGGGCTTTGCCCCGTTTTCAGGGCTTTTTGGGGGGTGTTTTCGAGGCTTTTTTGGGACCATTTTTGAGGTTTTTTTTGGCCAGTTTTTGAAGCTTTCTTCAGCCCATTTTTTCCAAAAAAAAAACAGGCCGAAAAAAGCCTAAAAAATGGGCCGAAAAAAGCCCTGAAAACGGGCCAAAATAGCCTCAAAATAGGCTGAAAAAAGCCTCAAAAATGGGCCCAAAAAAGCCCTGAAGAAGGCCGAAAATGGCCCGAAAACAGGCTGTGCGGAGACCAAAAAATGACTGGCGGGTGGGGGGTGGGGGCCTTTGGCAATATTCAGCCTATAAGACGCACAGACATTTTCGCCCTTTTGGGAGACAAAAAAAGTGCATCTTATAGCCCGAAAAATACAGTAATACCTAACAACAATAACTTCTCTTTTGATAAATTTAGTGCTATTTGAAAACTATTGTTGAATGCTGAGATACATTGCTCAAGGTTGTTTTTCTTCTATTCTTGTTTTTTCTTGCCTTACAGAATATTAAGCATGAACAATTAGAGTTGCCAGGTGTCCACTATTTGAGTGGACAGTCCACTTTTTTCACATTATGTTCACTATTTTTTTTCACAAAATAGTAGACTTTTTTTTATTCAAAAGCTTTATGATGAAATGGTACGTAATCTAAAGCTGTACGGTCTAAGAGAATAAGGATAGGAGCATCGCGTTTTGTCTTTTTTTTCATAAGTTAGAATGAGACAAAGATCGAATATCCATTGAACTCGATTCTCCGAAAAAATTAATGAGGAGATTAAAATAAAAATATATTATAAAATTATGTACAGTTCACATTTTAAAAATGTATTGTAGCTTGTGTCGACTGACCTAAAATGGCGTCGAGTGATGAGAGTGATAGCGGCGAGATTTCGAATTCTTTAAAACGAAAGAGAGGAGTGTGGAAATACACCAAAGACTGGGAAGCTACTTTTGCATGGATTACCAACAATGAAACCGACAGAACAAATACGACGGCCTACTGTAAATTGTTTGTAAGAAAATATATAATTTAATTGTAATTATTTTATTTTATTTTTTTATTACTTAACACCCCCGCCCCACCCCGCTTGTCCCCTATTTTTTGGAAGCAGACCTGGCAACCCTATGAACAATTGGATTAAAACAACTAGCTGTAGAAAGAACCTTTGAAAGAAAGGAAACCTAACTTTGACCTTGGATGGGTCACCCTTTTCCATTCAAGAATGGGAAGGGGGGAAACTTCCTGGACTCACAACTCCTATTTGAAGGGCAAGTGGCAGCCCTTCAGTGAATCAGTTCCCAAGCATCCCAATGTAAATCACGTCACCATGGGGATGCTACAATGGTCATAAAAGTGAAAAATGGCCATAGGTCACTTTTTTCAATGCCATTGTCACTCTGAAAGGTCGCTAAACGAACAGTTGTACGTTGAGGACTACCTGTCTCCTCACCTGCTCTTCTAGCTGCTCCGTCTCGTGCTGTCTCAGCAAGAACTCTTCCGCCAGAGTTACTGCCAGCGAACATGTCTCCGCTCCGTACCCCCGAATTCTTCTCTGGATCTCCAGAGGCAGGATCTCCAGGAACTGCTCCAGGATCACCAGCTCCAGGATCTCGTCTTTGGTGCGTTTTTCTGGTTGCAGCCACCCCCAGCAGAATTTCTTCAGCCGTTTGCAAGCCATTCGGGGACCTTCAGACGGCTGGTAGCAGAACCTCCTGAAATGCTGACGATGGGCTTCCTCGGAACGGGTCTGTTCGTCCTGCTTGAAGGCGGGCGGGATGGTGACGATCCTTCTCCCATGGAGATCCTGGCGGCTTTCCGGTGGGGTGTTTCCCCACATGGAGCAAGAGGACTCCGCTTCTTTAAGGAAATTCTGCCACCGGTCTTCCCAAGTTGTCACTTGTCCTTCTTCCGGTTCCATTTTAATTTGCGATGGCATCGCTACAGGCAAATCCTCTCCCACAATGCCGGTCACAACAAGCTGGAGGCTCCCCTCAGATTCAGCAGTGGGGCTGCCTGCAGCTTCCTTTTCGGTTTTCATCCTTGGGGTATCCCTGGGATCAAAAAAATAAAATAAAGTCAGTGGACATTCATCAAGGGATAATTATCAGCGACAATTGCTATCACTTATCAAAACAGGGCATAGTATTTTCCCCTCAATGTGACTGTGGGGTCCCAGTCAAACTGCAGATCGCATTGTGACCGGCTATAGGCTGAGGGCCTATGCCGGTCCAGTACAGGTAGTCCTCGACTTACAACAGTTCATTTGGTGATCGTTCAAAGTTACGACGACACTGAAAAAAGGGATTTATCACTGTTTTTCACACTTACGACCACTGCAGTATCCCCATGGACGCACAATCAAAATTCGAAAGTTGGGCAATATTGTATAAATAAATAAATAATATTGTATAAAGTATGCCCCAAGACAAATTCTTTGTGTGTCCAATCACACTTGGCCAATAAAGAATTATATTCTATTTATTTTACAGAGTCAGCATTTTGCCTTCAACGACCAGGGTCCTCATTTTACCGACCTCGGAAGAATGGAAGGCTGAGTCCACCTTGACCTGGTGAGACTCGAACTGCCGATAGCCAGCAGCCAGCAGAAGTAGATCATATACAATTTCAGACAAATGGCTCTCTAGGACAAGAGACGAAGAAAATCGATGTCCTAAGAGTTGACACCGGCTTGATGATACATAATCAAACGATCAGTGGGGGAAAGGCATGAAATTAAAGGAGCTCGCTGAGGAATTCTGGGAATTGAAGTCCACAAATCTTAAAATTGCCCAGATTGGAGGCCCCTGAGATAGATGATGATTTTGAAGCCCAAGCCAATCTGCAGGGGGGGATTGTCTTGTTTTAGGCTAATTTACAGTAGTGGCCAAAATTGTGGAAACCTTTTGGGAAATGCGTGTTTTTGAAGTTTGATGGCTAATAACCCCACTTTTTTTTTGGAGTTTCAAGATAATCCTATTCCACTGCTGGAATGGCCTGGGAATAGCCCAGACCTTAACCCAATTGAAAATCTATGGAGCTGACTAAAGAAACTTGTTAGTCAGAAGCGACCCAACAATAAAACCCAGTTAATAGAGGCAATCATTCAATCTTGGTTTCACATTATAACAGCTGCAGAACTAAAAGACTTGGCTCACTCCATGGGAAGGCGTTGCAAAGGCCGTAATTCATGCTAAAGGTTACCTAACTTAAGTATTAACTGACGTGATAATTTTTGTATATCTCATTTTTTCTATGGCGATAATTTTTGTACATCTCATTTTTTCTACGTGTTTCACTTTTCTTCTTTAAACTGTAACTGCTATTCTAATGGCAAATCCTTCATAAAAGTTATTGCATTACATTCTTGATTAAATTATTTTTCCATTGATATATAATTTTATGGTACTACTCCAAAAAAAAAAGTGGTGTTATTAGCTAGTTTTAGAAAATACACTTTTCCCAAAAAGGTTTCCACAATTTTGGCCACTACTGTATAGTGCTCATTAAATTATAATTTTGGTCCATATGCCCAAGTATTATATTCGGATCTGAAGTGCAGGCAGCCCTCAGTTTATGATTATTCATTTAGCAACCATTTGAAGTTACAAGGGTGTTTTAAAAACTTACAACCAGTCCTCGCTCTTACAACCATCGCAGTGTCCGCATAGTCACGGGTTCATAATTTAGGCACCTGAGATATTTACGACCATCACGGGCGCCAGTGATCTGCAGCCAACACGATTGACGTTTGTGACCCTCCCAGCAGCAACAAGCAAAGTCAGTGGGGAAGCCAATGGTGAAGGTCGCGTGTGATGTCTCACTTAACAACCATGGCGATTTGCTTAATGACCACAGCAAAATAGCTGGTAAAATCAGGTGTGGTCACAAGATGCCTCACTTAATGTCTGCACTGCTTAAATGTCAATTTTTTTTTCCAGCTCCTATTTCGGTCGTTAAGTCAAGTACTGCACATCCATAGTTATAATGGATGAAAACTCGGATTCTGAGATACAGAACGACCAAATCTATCCTTCAGTAAACCTATTAAAAGTCTGAGCCTGCTTTGGGATAAAAGAATTCCAGTTCTCCCATTCACAAAAACCCGTTAACTGGGTTACACGCTGTGCTAAATAAAATGTTGTTCCTTCAGTTTTGACTGAGAGCATGGGATGAACGCAAGCTGATGGTGGTTCGTTTGATAAACCACGATTGAGCAAATGTAAGCTTATTACTACATCTGGCTCAATGTTTCTCGACCTCAGCAACTTTTAAGATCCGTGGCCTTAGCTGGCTGGGGAATTCTGGGAACTGGAAGGGCGATGCATCTTAAAGGTTGTTGAGTTTGAGAAAAAAGCTGTGTGAAAATTGGGTGCCCACAGTATATTCTTTGAAGAGTCCAGGTGCTAACCAACCAGTTGCCGCTGTTGGCAGTTGAAGCACCACATCTGGAAGATCAAAGACTGTTACTATTTTATCTTTTTCTCTTTTTTCTGGTGGGAAGAAAGGAAACGATAAAGGAAGTTGTGGGCAAATGTAGGAAGCAAAGATGTTAACAAAGAGCATAGAGACTTAGGTTCAAGGTTAATCCTCATCCTGGCGGGCTGTGTTGGTGAGGGAGGGAGGAAAGGACTTAAATGCCTGTTTTATCTTTATAAAAGTCTGTAGAGATTCTCAGTCATCCAGGTCATGGTTGTCCCAAAAAAGCACCTGTGTTTTATCATGGTTTGTAAGACATAGTTTACAGTTTCTGATATGATGCAAATACAGTCACTCTGCCTCAGACTAACCTACTTCGTACAATAATAGCTGTGAAATTTTCTAGTCTCAACCTTGAGAGAGGGAGGGAGGGAGGGAGGGAGGGAGGGAGGAAGGAAGGAAGGAAGGAAGGAAGGAAGGAAGGAAGGAAGGAAGGAAGGAAGGAAGGAGCTGCACTGGCTCCCGGTGCTCTTCCGTGTGCGCTTCAAGGTTTTGGTTATCACCTTTAGAGCGCTCCATGGCTTAGGACCTAGTTATCTACGGGACCGCCTGCTACCACCAATAGCCTCCCACTGGCCAGTACGCTCCCATAGAGAGGGGCTCCTCCGGGTGCCGTCGGCCAAACAATGTCGACTGGCGGCCCCTAGGGGGAGAGCCTTCTCTGTGGGGGCACCTACAATCTGGAACGAGCTCCCCCCCGGAGATACGGAGGATCCCGGATCTGCGCACCTTCCGTCGCGCGCTCAAGACTTTCTTATTTCATCAAGCTGGCCTGGCCTAAATCTTTTCCCCTTTTAAATGTAAATTTTAATTTGTTTTTAAATTATTGGGTATTTTAAATTTGTCTCAGCCAAATTATTTAATTCGTTTTTATTCTATTTAAAATTTTTGTATTTATGTGTTTTATTCTGTGGCTGTTCACCGCCCTGAGTCCTTCGGGAGTAGGGCGGTATATAAATCCAATAAAATAAATAAAAATAAATAAATAAAGGAAGGAGGGAGGGAGGGAAGGAAGGAAGTTAAATGCCTGTTTTATCAGTTTTTAGCCATAATTTATGATTTCTGAGGCGATGCAAATACAGTCACTCTGCCTCAGACCAAACCTACTTCACACAATAATAGCTGTGAAATTTTCTAGTCTCAACCGAGAGAGAGAGAGAGAGAGAGAGAGGGAGGGAGGAAGGAAGGAAGAAAGGAAGGAAGGAAGGAAGTTAAATGCCTGTTTTATCAGTTTTTAGCCACAATTTATGATTTCTGAGGCGATGCAAATGCAGATAGTCCTTTACTTATGACCACAACTGAGCCCAGAATTTATGCTGCTGAGAAATTTGTTAAGTGAGGTTTGCCCTATTTTACGATTTTTCTTGCCACATTTAAATAAATCCCTGCAGTGGTTAAGTTAGTAACCCGGTTGTTAAGTGAATCTGGCTGCCCCATTGATTTTGCTTGTCATAAGGTTGCTAACGGGGATCGTGTGACCTCAGGACACTGCCACGGTCATAAGTATAAAACAGTTGCCAAGCGTCTGATCACGTGATCATGGGGATGCTACAAAAGTTGTAACTCTGAAAAACGGTCATAAGTCACTTTTTTCAATGCCATTGTAACTTTGAATGGTCACTAAATGAACTGTTGTAAGTCGAGGACTACTTGTATAGTCACTTTCTGTCAGATCAATCTACTTCATACAATAATAGCGGTGGTATTTTTTTATCCTTAGCCTTAAGTGGAAGGATTTTTCTAGATTTCTGCAAAATAGGTCCTAGCAATGAAGCAGAATTACAAAATGTTTTCTGTTTGTTCATCCTGTGCTAGGTTAATATACTGGTAGTCCTCAATTTACAAAAGTTCGTTTAGTGACCGCTCAAAGTTACTGCGGCACTGAAAAAGTGACTTATGACCATTTTTCACACAAAAAACCGTTGCAGTGTTCCCATGGTCACGTGATTAAAATTCAGACACTTGGCCATTGGCTCATATTTACGACGGCTGCAGTGTCCTGCAATCACCTTTTGCGACTTTTTGACCAGCAAAGTCCACTGGGAAGGCGAATTCACTTAACAACCATGTTACTAACTTAATGACTCCAGTGATTCACTTAACGACTGTGGCAAGAAAGGTGGTAAAATGGGGTAAAACTCACTTAACGAATGTCTCACATAGCAACATAAATTTTGGGCTCAATTGTGGTCGTATGTCAAGGACTATCTATACAACAAAGCCCCTGGGAAGTTGTTTCCAAACATTTAAAAAAAAAAAAACTGTTATTCTTACTCTTTCTTCCCCACTCTGCTTTTGTTTTCCAGAACACGGATCAGCCTGGATAAATACCTTTTTTTGCCTTGAATTGGGCAGAAAAGGGAAGAACTAAGCAATAAATACAGCACATATAGTCCTCAATTTACAACAGTTTGCTTAGTGACTGTTCAAAGTTACAACTGTGCTGAAAAAAGCGACTTAGGACCGTTTTTCACACTTATGACCACTGCAGCAGCCCCATGATCATGTGATCAAAATTCAAGACGCTTGGCAACTGTTTCACACTTACGACCATTGCAGCATCCCCATGATCAAAATTCAAGACGCTTGGCAACTGTTTCACACTTACGACCACTGCAGCATCCCCATGATCACGTGATCAAAATTCAAGACGCCTGGCAAGCGACTCACATTTACGATGGTTGCAATGTCTCGGGCGGAGGTGTGTGTGTGTGTGTGTGTGTGTCCTTCAGACAAGCAAAATCAATGGGGGAAGCCGGATTCACTTTACAACTATGTCACTAACCGAACAACCCACCTTGATTCCCTTCTTAACAGCTCTGGCAAAGATGGTCATGAAACGGGACCAAACCCAGGCAAAGCCAACAGTCTCGCTTAGCAGCAAAAAGGTTGGGCTCAATTGTGGCTGTAAATTGAGGACTACCCATTCAACAATGGTTTTATTTGATTGACCAAACTAAGTAATAATTTTAATTAGCAATTTTATGATGTTTGTGTGTCTATATTTTTCTTGACTGTACACCACCTTGAGTCCTACGGGAGAAAGGCGGTATAGAAATATAATAAATAAATAAATAAATAAATAAATCCCACCCCTACCTTTACCCCCCACCCCAACACACACAGAATCAGCCTTGGACCCCTCCCCACCCACTTTGTGTTTCTCCCTAGAAACCCACCCCAAAAAAGGAGATCCCCCTTTATTTTTTGGGGAGGGATCATCCCAGGATTGATCTGTTGGTCGTGATCAACAGATCACCGCCCGGACCGGCTCGTCTCCCGATCCTGCCGTGGAGGGGAGCGAGGAAGAGGCAACCGGCCCAAAGTCACCCAGCCGGCTTTCACGCCCAAGGCGGCATTAGACCTCGCCGCCTCGCTCCTCTCTGTATCCCGGTGCCTTTAACCACTAGACCACCCTGCCTTCCTCCTCCTCCTCCTCCTCCTCCTCCCCCCCACGGGTCCCCCCCCTCCCCGATCCTCCCCCTCTCCGTCTCCTCGCCCCCCCTCCCCTCCGCCCCCCCGCCCCTCCCGCAGGACAAAGCAGCCTCCGAAACTCACAGCCGAACCTCCCGAGTTGAGAAATTCAAAATGTAGAGAGTTGGGGTGGTGAGGGGGGGGGGGAAGGGGCGGAGCTTCGAGGCGAGGGCTGGGGGTGGGGGGGGAAAAGGTGGGGGCCTTCCACGCTCCTCACGCACGCACGCACGCTCGCTCTCTCTCTCGCGCCGGGCTGACGCACAACGCCGGGGCCGATCTAGGAAGCCGGCTCGCTGCTCCTAAAATGAACCCTTTTGGCGGACCGAGCTTTTTGTTCCGCGAAAGGAAGCGGCAAATAATTCCCCGTCTTTCGCGACCGTCGTCTCCCCTACTCTCCCGAGTTCGTTCCGTTGACGGGACACGTGGCAGACACGAGCTGTGGAAGGCTCCCCCCCCCCAACGTCATCTGTTTTTATTTTTCAATCAGAATAGAGCTGAAAGGGACCTTGGAGGTCATCTAGTCCAGTGTTTCTCAACCTTGGTAGCTTGAAGATGGGTGGACTTCAACTCCCAGAATCCCCCAGCCAGCAGCGCTGGCTGGGGGATTCTGGGAGTTGAAGTCCACCCATCTTCAAGCTTCCAAGGTTGAGAAACACTGATCTAGTCCAACTCCAGCAAGAAACCTTATGCCAGGGCTGGGCAAATATGGACCCTTTTATGACCTGTGGACTTCAACTCCCAGAATTCCTGAACCAGCTTGGCTGTCTCAGGAATTATGGGAGTTGAAGTCCACAGGTTGTAAAAGGGCCGCATTTGCCCACCCCTGCCCTATGCCATTTCAGACAAATGGCTGCCCAATCTCTTCTTAAAAGCCTCCAGTGATGAAGCACCCACCACTTCCGAAGGCAAGCTGTTCCAATTGGTTAACAAGTTCAATTCTATAAACTTTTATATCTTATTTATAAATACCAGGTGCTCTCCTTGAGTTACAATCACAACTGAGCCCAACATTTCTGTGGCTATGTGTGACAGTTAAGTGACTTTAGACCCGTTTTACGACTTGTTGGCACAGTTGTTAAGTGAATCACTACAGTTGTTAGGTTACTAACACACGGTTGTAAAATGAATCTGGCTTCTCCATTGACTTTGCTGATTGGAAGGTCACAAAAGGGGATGACCCTGGGACATTGCAACTGTCATAAATATGACTCAGTTGCCAAGCGTCTGGATTTTGATCAATTGGCCATGGGGATGCTGCAGCCGTGGTAAGTGTGAAAAACGGTCATGTCATTTTTTCCAGTGCCGTTGTAACTTCAAACAGTCACTATGCAAACTGTTGTAAGTCAAGGACTACCTGTATAATAATGTTGTAAATCAGAGGTCCAGGCTTTTGCTCTGTTCCAAGATGTCTCTCCCCAGATGTCTCTCCCACTCTCCTAGAGAGCTTTATTTTTATATAGTTTTACACAAGCAAATCAAAGACTGGACAGTAACAGTATTCTAATTGGATAGAAAATATTCACCCCCCTCTCAAGATGCCATCCTCTGAAGGTGAGATAATGCAGATCAAAGCCAAGAATTAGATCATAGAAGCAGGAAAGACCTACAGCACATGAGCTAAGGCAGTGTGCTGCTCGAAGCTTGGCACCGTGACCTTTGACCTACCTCTACATAATAACATTTATTTATAAGGCACCCAGAAGGGGAGTGAGATGGGCAGCATATAAATTTAATAAATACATAAAATCCTGTGTTATTTTTATAAATAATTCAAGGTGGAGAATGTACATAATATTCCTTCCTTCTCCTATTTTTCTCTGACAAGCAAAGTCAATGGAGAAACCAGATTCACTTAAGAACCATGTTACTAATTTAACAACTGCAGTGATTCACTTAACAAATATGGCAAGAAAAATTGTAAAATGGGGCAAAAAAATGCACTTAACAAGTGTCTCACTTAGCAACGTAAATGTTGGGCCCAATTGTGGTCATAAGTGGAGGACTACCTGCACATTAAAATGACAAAAAACGTGACTGATTCAAATCCAGCCAAGGATATTCGGCTACAATAAACTCTCAATTCCTAGGTTTGGCAACTTAATACAGGTAGTCCCCGAACGTACAACAGTTCATTTAGTGAACATTCAAAGTTACAACAGCACTGAAAAAAGTGACTTATGACCATTTTTCACAGTTACGACCATTGCAGCATCCTTCATGGTCACGGGATCCAAATTCAGACACTTGGCAATGGGCTCGTATTTATGACGGTTGCACTGTTCCAAGGTCATGAGATTCCATTCTTTTGTGACCTGACAAGCAAAGTCAATGGCGAAGCTAGATTCGCATAGCAACTGTTACTAACTTAACAGTAATTGTGGCAAGGAAGGTCCTAAAATGGGGCCAAAGTCACTTAGCAACTGTCTTGCTTAGCAACAGAAATTTTGGGCTCAGTTACAGATAGTCCTTGACTTACAACCACAATCAAGCCCAAACTCTTATGTTGCTAAGTGAGAAATTTATGATAGCTCGCATTTATGATGGTTGCACTGTTCCAAGGTCACGGGATTCCCCTTTTGTGACCTCCTGACAATGAAAGTCAATGGCAAAGCCAGATTCGCATAACAAGCACGTTACTAACTTAACACAACGGCAGTGATTCGCTTAACACAACGGCAGTGATTCACTTAACAACCGCAGTAAGAAAGGTCATAAAAGGAGCAAACTCCACCTAACCAATTGCAACAGAACTTTTAACAGGCTCAATTGGAGTCAGAAGTCGGGGAGTACCTGCAGGGTTTAAGACAGGGGTCTCCAACCTTGGCCGCTTTAAGACTTGTGGACTTCAACTCCCAGAGTTCCTCAGCCAGCTTTGCCCCCTCAGCCAGCTTTGCCCCCGAGAGCTTTGCTGGCTGAGGAACTCTGGGAGTTGAAGTCCACAAGTCTTAAAGCGCCCAAGGTTGGAGACCCCTGGTTTAAGAAGAGCATTCCCTGCGCCAGATTGCGCCCCGCCTCCCTCGCGCCCGCAGGGGGAGGGCGACGCCACGGGGATGACGTGATGACGTGAGGAGCCCCTTTCCTCCTTCCGCCCCCTCCCTCCCTCGGGGCCGGAAACGCGAGGAGGGAGATGGGAGGGACTTAACACTTCCCAAAGCCACGGAGCCGCCGCGGTTAAAACCAACGAGCCGGGAGGCCTAGAGAGGCGTGGGAATTTGTGGGCGTGCGGGGAGGGAGTGGGGGGGGCGGCGCATTTCTCCTCTTGACACTCCGGGGATGTGCAGTTTGCAGTTGGTGCGCAGAGGAGCCGAGACGGCGGCTGCGAGCGGAGCAGGGTGGGGAAGCGGAGCCGCCGGTGCAAAAGAAAAGGGGTGCATCGGGGCTGGGGGCTCCTTAAGGGAAGGGGGGCAGGCAAGAGCACAAGCCTGCATTCAGCCCACTCCCCACCATCCCCAATCCTAGAGGTAAGTAGGTCTAACCAAGGCCATCAGCCACAGCCATCCACTTTCTGGGAGGGGAAGATGGGTTCAGACGACTTGCTGTGCCAGCTTTGGGTTGTTGTTGCGTTGTTGGGTTGTGCATGTCTGGTTTAACCCAAAAAGGTGCTTTTTTCCAAGAGGAAACTGGACTTTCTGGGGTTTTTTTGGGTGGGTGGGGGGGACACAACCATGACCTGGAGGACTGACAATCTCTGATTTAACTTGGTTAACATCAAAAGATGATTGTGGGAAGGCTTGCAAACGGATTTGTAAGCCCGGTCCGCACTTTCCAAAAGAAGGCAAAGAAGAGCAACTATGATGAATGATGAAAGGCCGGGAGACTAAAACATAGGAAGAACCCTTGCAAGAATCTCACCATGTTAAAAAATAAATAAATAATAATCTCCTCTGTAGACTTTGTTTGGAGAAAAAAAAAATAGATTTTTTTCTTCCTATTTTTTTTCTTCCAAGGGTTCTTCCTATGTTTTAGTCTCCCGACCTTTCATCATTCATCATAGTTGCTCTTCTTTGCCTTCTTTTGGAAAGTGCGGACCGGGCTTACAAATCCGTTTGAGGACCCAGTTTGTGGGGGCAATAAGCTGACTTTGTATAAATATACAAAAGGATGAAGGCTATTGCTGAGCACATTGTAAGCCGCCCTGAGTCTCCGGTGAAGGACGGCATATAAATCAAATTAAAAAAAAAAAAAAGATTAAAAAGTGCAAAGACGAGCAATTAAGATGATGAAAGGCCTGGAGACTAAAACATAGGAAGAACGGTTGCAGGATTCGGGTTTGGCTAGTCTAGAGAAAAGAAGGACTGAGGGGGACGTGATAGCAGTATTCCAGTATTTGAGGGGCTGCCACAAAGAGGAGGGAGAGGGGGGGGTCAATTTATTTTCCAAAGCACCTGAAGGCAAGAAAAGAAACAATAGATGCAAATTAATCGAGGAGAGAAGCAACCTGGAATTAAGGAGGAACTTCCTAACGGTGAGAACCAGTGAAATAGATTGCCTTAAGAAGTTGTGGGTGCTTCATCACGGGAGGTTTTTACGAAGAGAGTAGACAGACTGAAATGGTATATAGGATCTCCTGTTTGAGCAGGGGGCTGGACTACAAGACCTCCAAGATCCCTTCCAGCTCTATTCTGATTCAGTTCAGATGAGTGCCAGTCCACCTGAATAGCAAAACCCCCTTGAGAGGGATTTCTCCCCCTTAAGGGAAGATACTGGCTGTCCCATTTTTTAAGGCTTCTGCTTTGTCTTCAGACAGACCCCGGATCCCTTTTTCTTGGACAGTTCGAGAGGTTGTCCCAAATTTTGAGATATAGATAGTCCTCAATTTACGACCCCAATGGAGCCCCAAATTGCTGCTGCTAAAGGAGGCATTTGTTAAGTGCGCTGTGTCTCATTTTACAACTTCCTTGCCTACAGTTGAGGCAATCGTTGCGGTCATTAAGTAACACGGTGGTTAACTGACTTTGTCAGAAGGTCGCACATCCTGGTGTGATCCCAGGATGTTGTGCCTATCATAAATAAGAGTCATTTGCCAAGTGTCTGAATTTTGATCACGTGTCCGTGGGGATCCTGCAATGGTCGTAGTAGGTCCCTTTTTAGAGTGCCATTGTAATTTTGAACTGTTGTAAGTCGAAGATTGCCTGTGGGTCTCTGGCAGTTTAAGGATTGTGGGTTGCTTTGGGATACAAAATAAGGGTACTCATCTGCAGTCTTTTTGCAGAGGACTAGCAGCTTAGGAAGCTGCCTAATTCTCAAGGGTATTTAACTTAATATTGTCTACCCGGCCTTGTCTGATCTCCAGCTCCGCCTCAGTAGAGTAGTTTTTAACTCTCCTGCTATGGTTGTCTCACACATCTGTGGTTAATCTAGAGATGATTTCCTCAATGGAGCTGTTTTCCAGCCTTTGCACAATGTACCAAACTACACAACTACACATGGGGCCAGTTGCACAACACGCTAGCCTCAAAGTTGGTAACTGGGTTGCAGTTTGGTTGGTGTGAGCACAAACCTTATGCTGGTTGTAGGAAATATAGGCCCAAAGGCTCCTTAATTGTAGAAGAGTGGTGTACATTGCTGTATTCACACAACATTTATAACCTGGTCAACAAATTAACCCACTTGGAGGTTTGTGCAAATGCACAGAGCCAGAAAAGAGGCAAATAATGAGCTGGGTTCCACAGAATGTAAAGCTCTCGTTTTCCTAATGCACCTTCTAGGTCTTTTCTCATAGCTGGTTTAATGGGTTGTGTGAGCTGAGCCATTCACTGGCAGCCATTCTGCAGGGTTTCAGGGAAAGGCTCTTCTCAGCTTCTCCAGGCCTTAGCTGTTCCTCAGTTTGACTGAGTGGTACTTTCTGGGCTTCAGGCCGGGGGCCATTTTTGTATGTCTTTCTCTTTTCCTCCTCAAAATTTTTCATAGTTGCTCAGCAAGAGTTCCTGCTTTAGTAGTGTACATCTTTGTTGTGGTCCGCCAGCAGCCTCCAGAACTGGTAGCGGAGTCGGACAGTGGGGAGGCTGGGGAGGAACATGGGCCAGTCCTGGAGTCTGGGGAAGGCTTGGACGAGGGCTCTGTGTCAGAGGCAGAGATGGGGCCAGGGCCATCTGGGAGTTATGCGTGGACTCCGGAGCCTCCAGAGTCGGATATCAGAGAGGAACAGGAGGAGCCTGTTGTAGAGCTGCCAGAAGGCAAGAACAATTAAAATAAAAGGGACAACTTGGGAGTAAGGCCTGGAGATGATTGCCCCTTTAAGGCTTAAAAGAGAAGCAAAGGCACATGGGCTCTTTGCAGGAAAGCAACGTTGTTAATTCTGTTTCCAGTTGGCATCTCTGTTTGATTCTGGACTCCGTGTGGCTTTGGCCAAGTAGGTCTTTGGCAGCGTGTCAAGGGAGATAAAGGTTGGTGATTATCCCAAAGGACTTCTCCAGAAGAACTTTTTGCAACTAATTGGGACTCAGCTATGAATGAACATAATTCACAGCTGTTGTAATAAAAGAGGTTTTTGGGATTACTTGTGTGTTTTAATGATTCAGGAAGCCTAGGTCACAACAATCTCACTAAATAAGACATTGCTCGGTGGGGGTACTTTTGCTGTACAGGTAGTCCTTGACTTACAACAGTTCATTTAATGACCGAAGTTACAACCGCACTGGAATAAAATGACTTATATGACAATTTTTCACACTTATGACCGTTGCAGCAGGCCCTTGGTCACCTGATTTACATTTGGATGCTTGACAACTTGACAATGTTTATGACTGTTGCAGTGTCCCCTTTTGTGACCTTCTGAGGAGCAAAGTCCATGGGGAAAGCAGATTCACTTAACAACCGTGTTACTAATTTTAACAACTGCAATGATGCACTTAAGAAACGCGGCAATAAAAGTCGTAAAACAGGGCAAACTCACTTAACCCATCTCACTCATCTCACAACATAAATTTTGGGCTCAATTGTGGTCATAAGTTGAGGACTACCTGTATTTATAACGGTTGCAGTGTCCTGAGGTCATGTGATCCCTTTTTGCAACTCTCTGTAACCGTCAGTCACTTTCTGACGAGCAAAATTGCTAGGGAAGCCAGATTCACTTAACAACCCTGTCACTAACTTAACAGTACAATTACAAACTATGCACTGCACGGTTAAGTGCAGCGATTCACTTAACGACTGTGGCAAGAAAGGTCGTAAAATGGGGCAAACTCACTTAACAAATGTCTGAGCGACAGAAATTTGGGGCTCAATTGTGGTTGTAAGTCGAGGACTACCTGTAATCTTGTTTCAGCAGAGCCTGAATATTCAAAGACAGTTATGATGATTGGATCTTAGGAGAACAATTTTCTGTGAAGCAGTTGAGTTATTTCATAACGCAGGGATACTTTTAAGTTAAGCTTGTGGGGGCTTTCATTATCCTTCCATTTTCTCGCAGGCCAAACAGAAGTCGTTTACCATTACTGTTTTCTGGAAATTTATTTTGTTTACTTCCCAGACAAATCTGCAATCCTGGGACCTTTTTGGTCTCCTATCCCAATACTAACACACTTAACTTTTTCCAAGACGAGCTCTGTGCTGCCAGGCTGGAGACAAAGTTTACTTTTAGACAGGGGTGGGCTCAGGGCCGGATTTTCCTATAGGCTAACTAGGCTTCAGCCTAGGGCCTCAAGATCAAGAGGGGCCTTCAAATTGTTAGCAAAATTAAAATTACACTTTCACTATAGGTGAAAGGGCCTCATAAGTGGAATAGCCTAGGGCCTCTTTTCATCTAAATCCAGCCCTGGGTGGGCTTCAAAAATTTTAGCAAGGGGTTCTCTGCCCAGTTGCTGGGTAGGTGTGGCCATGGTGGGTGTGGCCTGCACCATGGTGTGGGGGGGGGCTTTTTGCCCTCCCCAGGCTCCGGAGGCTTTCCTTGAGCCTCTGGGAGGGCGAAAACGGCCTCCCCAGGTTCCAGAGGCCCTCTGGAGGCCGGAAACTGGCCTGTTTCCGGCCTTCCCGAACTTCCGGTAGGCCCGTTTTTCATCCTCCCCAAGCCTCTGAGCACGCCCTGCACTTACCTGCATCCAGAATGGGCCACGTGGGGGCTCCTGGGAGGGGCAGGATGGGGCGGGCGGGGCCAGCCAGGAATGGGATTTGGGGGGGTTCTCCGAACTGCACAGAATCTTACCTAGGGGTTTATTATTATTATTTTATTTTTTAAATTTTTATACCGCCCCATCTCCCGAAGGACTCAGGGCGGTGAACAGCCAAAATTAAAAACATACAATACAAACATTAAAATACAACGAGCCCCCAGCAGCCCACCCCTGCTTGTAGAAAGGGAGAGCACAAAACCGTTCACACATTCGTAATCTGATGAAACCAGCAGACCAGAGAGAAGTTCTCTGACTTGCAACCCTTCTCACATGTTGGGGTTACAGCTTCCAAAATCTAGAAACGGGGGAATTCTGGGATGTTTTTACCCATTTGTTTAGCTGGAAAAACC